CAGAATGGGACACATAATAGGCGTTCAATAAGTGTCTGCTATAGGAATAAATGAATGGAATTAAATTTAGAAGGTGTGATATTCAACTTAAAACCTATTGTTAACCCAACTTTTCCCTTTTTCTAAGCAAACATTATATTCTTAAACCATTTTCATTATGGCAAAAAAATATCACAATGGTTACAACCTCAAACATTTTTCCCATTTATGGTTTCATACTTTTGGCCAACGTTTAAGGAAGGAATATTCTATGAAAAATAATTTAAGAATCAATCAAAGCCTATTTTCTCTCATCATACATATTAATCCAGTGGCATTGCATCTGACCCTTCAGAGGTTTCTTGCTCTGGTAAACTAACGATAATAATAAAGCATTGACAAAAATACCCTGAGATGCTGGAAAAAAAAAATGAGGGGGAGAAACTTTTGCATTCATGTTTCCTTTTCTAAATGGTAAAACATTCTCCTACACCACCAAATAAGTTAGTTTATACTCAAAAATGCATAGTTTTGAAAAACTGCTATTTGGAAACAAAGGTTTGTGCCCATGTTTGTTGAACTTAATTGCTGTACTGTTAATGGAAGAGCTGAGGGCTAGTGAATTTAGACTCTTTAAAATAGCTAAAGATTAAAGTTAATTGAATTTAGTGCCTCTGGAATTTTTGATACATGTTCCAAATTTGTTTTTAATGACATAATTGTCCCATGTTACATTTAAGATTACATCATTGTGAACTGGTTATATATGCAGTTAACACTAACAGAAACCAATCCCAAATGTCAAAAACAAATAAATAAATGTCAAAAATAAATGTCAAAAAATTAGAGTTGAGGACAACCATAATGTTGCCATTAAGAAAGTGGAAGTTGAAAACAGAAGAGAAACACTCCATTGAACAAGGTCTTACTATGAAAACTTTTAATAGAAAGATCTGGAAATCAAATGTATTAACTCTATGCTTTTTCAAGAGCATTTAAATCATTATTTTACACTTAATGTTGCAAGTAGAAACGAATGCATTTTCCCAAGGCATCTATTCATTAACTTTAGTGGAAAAAGATAGTTCCCAATCACATAAATGGGAACTGTGCTAAATAAATTTTGTGAACATTTGTCAAGAAATAGAAGTTACAAAAAAAAAAGAGAAATAGAAGTTACTAGTCATATGTATAAATGGACATAGTTCATATTTTCAAAGAACTGAAGTTCAGTATTTTTGTTTCTTTTAGTCTTCAGGGTCCCCCCGCCCTTAACTAAAAGTAATTGTAATATTGTTTTGCCTCTGGGGCTTTCCCTTCCACAATTAATCACTTTTTATCTACACCTTCCCTCCAAAAGATTATTCCCCCTAGCCTTAGAACACTTGACATTAATTCAGACTCCTTCAGCATCAGTTTTCAAAACATTGCCCTGCCCTTGCTTAGCTCCATGAGACACTCCCTTTTCTTTCAGAAAATTGGTTAACAGAAGAATTTTTGCTATCACTCTGCTATCACTTTGACAAGGTGCTACCACGAAATCAGAAAAACATCTTTGTAGTACAAATTAGCTTTCCTTACTTTCATCGAATCTTCAAATTCAAAACACAATATATTTAAATTCCTTGCGATAATGAACATCTACACTTCAAAAGTGGTGATATGCTCCGTTTAAACATTTGGAAGACTTGGATCCTGAGACTCTCTTTCATCCGTGTCCTTGATCATCAGAACCAAGGGGGGAGCAAGAAATTGTGAAAAAGTCTCACCAGGCTACACCACCAGCGCGGGCAGAGGAAACGCTTTCAAAATATGTCATTCATCTTCACATTTTAAAGGCAGTCTATCCATGCATGCCTTATACACATCATTAAATATTGGTACTAAGACTTCAGTCATATGAGGTACGTTTTCCAATTTATAGGCGAAGTGGGGGGGAGGGGGTGCCGAAGGAGTCGTTCCTCTCCTTAAATTTACTTATCGAAACAAAAGCCAGTCTGATTACATCTGAAAGTCTGAAGTTGCCGTTTGTCAAGAGTTTTTTTAGAAAGCCGCTTATTGCATTAAATTAACCGATTCCTAGCCAAATCAGGTTTAAGGAGAGAGTGCTGCCCGGTCTCCAGTGACAAACGAGTTGCCAGACGCCCTTAAGTAGACTGTCAAACTTCTGTGTTTACTCTTTTTAAACACGTAAGGGAGAGAATAGCACCTACGAGAAGTCCGGTCTGTTTCTCCAGAAGCGTGTCCTCTGGGGAACAGGCGCTCACCTGTGCACCACAGAGGGTCTTTCCCCGCCGCCCTCCCTGGCGGAGGGGATGGACATCGCTAGACCTTTGTCCTCGGCACCCGAGCGCGGCCGGGCGGGGAGGGGGACGTTCGGGGAGCAGCGCGGGCACCTGCACCCTAGGAAACTGCAGACCCGTCTGGGCTCCCATGACCGCCCGGCGGAAGCTCTGGGGGGGGCGGGGGGGGCTCCAGCTCGGGGACGCGGTCCGTGGCCACCTGTCCCGCAGGGGCACGGGGAGGGCACGAGTGACCGCTCTAAAGAGTTAGGGATGCCCGTCTTTCCCAACCACGGCAACGGCCCCCGCTCCCTCGTGGGGCTCGCCCCGCGCGGGCTGGGCCGGGCTGAGCCTCGGCCGCGGCGGGCGCAGACCCGGTGTCCGCTCGGCGCCCCCGCCGCGTCCGCACCGCCACCGTGAGGCCGAGCCGGGGACGGTGCCCCGTGGCGGCGGCGGCGGCGGCGGCTCCTCCGCGCTCCTCGCTCCTCGCCGCGCCGCCCCGGCCGCCGCCGCCGCCGCCGCGCCGGGCACGGGCGGGGGGATTTTCCTCCCGTTCCCCCTCTTTCGCGCTCTCGCTCCTGTTCAGCGGGAGAGCCCGCGGAGCCAGGGAGGGAGCGAGGGAAGGGGTGGAGGTGGCGGGGGGGAGGCCGGAGGGGCGGATCCTGCCTGGGGGCTGATCCCTCCCTCCCCTCGGCCGGGCTCCGTGGCGGCAGCGGCGGCGGCGGCGGCTTCATTCCCCCTCCTCCCCCGGGAGCGGCGGCGGCGGCCGGGCCGGGGCCCCAGCGCGGGCCGGGAGGGGGCACGGCGGTGGCCGCGGAGGCCAGCGCGGGAGGAGGCCGCGCTCCGCGCCCCGGGCCGCGCCGACCTGCTCGACGGCCGGCCCGCCCGCGCCCAGGGGCCCCGAACGGTGGGGCCGGGCCGGCGGCTGAGGTAATGGGGGCGGCAGCGGGGCCGGACGGAGCGGGGGCGGGGGCGGCGGCGGCGGCGGCGGCGGCGGCGGGGCCTAGGAGGACGAGGGACCGCGCGGTGGGGGCGGGGAGAGGGAAGCGGGGGGCTTCCCGGGCCAGGCGGGGGCGGCGCGGAAGCGCTCTCCCGGAGCGAGGGCGGCGGCGGGGAAGGAGAAGGCGGGTGAGGGGGGAGCTGAAAAGCGAGGACCCCCTCCCGCAGCCGCCATCTTGTTTCCCTCCCCCCCCCCCGGCTCTGGCTGGCGAGCCGCCGAGTCCCGCCCCCGCCATATTCTCCAATTGGTCATACCAGAGGAGGGTTCCGCCCCCTGAGCGTCCCTTGGCCCCCGGTTTCTCCTGACGGGCAGGCGAGGCGACCAATGGGCGCTCGCCTCTCTGCCCCGCTGGTTCGCTGGCGCTAGCTTTCTCTGTGTGAGGGTCGGACTCCGCGTCAGTCGGTCTCTGGTGCGGTCGCCCCCTCCCTTCAGGGGAGGCGATGTTATTTCCCTCCTTTCTCCTCGGAAGGGTCAAGATTCTTCTGGAAGAGGTGCCCCTTTAAAGGGGCAGGGGCGCTCCCCTGTCTCCTGAGTCTCTGGTGGGCTGCGGGGGATACAGGCTAATTGCAGAAACTCCTCGTCCTTCGGAGACCTGGGTGGGGTGGGCGAGTGGGGGCCTAGGGGTGCTGAGGGGACCTCTGGGGGTGTTGGGGGTATCAGGAGGCGTGTTTGTGGCGAGGGCTGTGTGGGTTGAGAAACTCCCGCCAAGAAAACTGGACTGTAAGCTCCTTGTGGGCGAAACTCGTTTCCTCAGCAGCGGCCCTTGCCTCTCCAGAGTTGGCCTCCCAGTGCCCAGGGGCTGGGCAGGACCCAGGAGGTTTTCCGCAGATGCTCGCTGCTTGGGCTGCCCAAGCTGCTACGGAGGTGGCAGGCAGGCAGGGAGAAGAATATACAGCGCCGTAACAAAGGAGGGTCCACAACCTCTGTCTAAAACTTTCAGGTTAGCGTTGAGGCAGATTTTCAGGCCTGTGCGAGGATCTCCCTGCCCATGAGGGCTTGGGGGCAATGAAGCAGGACTGTTAGCCTGGGCTACCCGCCCCCCCCCCCCCCCCGAGTTGGCATTTGTCGGGCATGTAGTGGCCAAGGGCCTCTGGAACCTGGACAGAATTGCTGTGATGATTCTGTTGCCTTTTGTTCCAAATGGGGTGTGTGCCTGCCTGGCACTGTTCCTCAGCCAAGTTGTTTTTTGTTTGTGTCACACTTTTTTTTTTTTTTAAGATTTTATTTATTCATGAGAGACGCAGAGAGATAGGGGGGTAGAGAGAGAGAGGCAGAGACACAGGCAGAGGGAGAAGGAGGCTCCATGCAGGGAGCCCGACGTGGGACTCGATCCCGGGTCTCCAGGATCACATCACGCCCTGGGCTGCAGGCGGCGCTAAACCGCTGAGCCCCCTGGGCTGCCCCTCAGTCACACTTCTAAATGAAGATGTTAATACCTTATTCACATAGAGCAACCTTAAGGGATAGATTTCATTTTCATCTTACTGGTGGAGTATGGAGGCCCAGAGAGATGAAGTGACTTTCTCCAGGTCACACACGGCCAAGATTAGAACCTAGATAACCCCAGAGCCTCGTTTTGTACCAGACCGTGGCATCTCTGTGGTGGTCCTTCTTCCCACTGAGATGAGTTCAACACATCAGGAGATCCGGGTTTGAATTGTAGCTTCAGGTTGAGTGGCACCTTTCTGAGCCTGTTTCTTCATCTGTAAGATGGAGATGATATCTATTCTATCTTCCAGACTAGTTGAGAGAAATGTTAAAAAGTGAAAGGGATTGGGGCACCTGGCTGGCTCAGTTGGTGGAGAGTGCAACTCTTTATCTCAGAGTCAGGAGTTTGAGCCCCATGTTGGGGGTAGAGATTAATTTTTAAAAATGTTTTAAATCTTAAAAAAGTAAAAGGGATTTGTAGTCTGCAAAAGTGTGCTAAATTATCATCATCTCTGCTTTATAGATAAAGATGGTAGATCCTGCAACCAAGGTGACAAACTCCTTTTCTCTTTTAAATCCTCTCACTGTTGTACTTTTCTAAGTCTCTGCCTGCACCCTGGGGTACCATACCTCTAATGTCTTTCCTGGTAGTGATGGCCTCAGGTAATTGCTACCACAGCTTCTTATGAGCTTGTCATAGTTCCTTTTACCCATAGAATGATGTGGGAAACTTTAGGGCTTTCTCCTAAAGTTTCCCACATCATTTCTCCTCGTTGCATAAGGGTAGGGTAGGTATAAGTATTTGGGGGAGAGAGGGACATTTGAGGTAACAGAATGCATTAAGAGTTTATCTCAGATATTGCCCCAATCACCTTAGCTGTAGGTCCAATGAGGGTCCCAGATAGGCCACTTAAAACTTTAGTGCCACTTGGGGCCACTCCCAGAGCTTCTAGTGTTTCTGCTTAGATATACTAGTCAGTGCATCCTGAATGCTGGCTTTTCCAGAGACAACCTGCATAGGATAGTTTGAAATCTTTAGCCAGCACATGTAGACATTTCAGGTACCTTCACCTCTTCATTCCTGGGTTCAGGGGATAGGGTTTCTGATCATTGTAATATGGATTGGGAGAGGGCTTTAGACCTATGAGGTGTTCTGTTGTTGTTGTTTTGTTTTTAAGATTTTATTCATGAAAGACACAGAAGTAGAGACATAGGCAGAGGGAGAAACAGGCTCCCACAGAGAGTCCAATATGGAACTTGATCCCAGGTCCCCGGGATCATGACCTCAGCCAAAGGCAGACGCTCAACCACTGAGCCACCCAGGCATCCCAACCTGTGAGTTTTTGATCTTCTGATGGGGCCACTGGTCATAAACAGAGCTTGAAAATGGATGCTATTTTTGTTTCCTTTTTTTCTGAACCCTTGACCTCCCCCTCCTTTTCCATAGTTAGCTGTTACACAGCCTACATGCATCATTAGAACTCTAGGTGTCTCCCATGTTGTAATGATCTGTTTACTTTTCTGTCCCTTCAATTAGATGGAGCACCTAGATGGCAGGGATCATGCATGTTGGATTTTGCCTTTCATTCATCTGATACTTACTGAGTGCTAACTTAGGAGCCAGCACCATCTAGGTGCTGGGAATACAACAGTGAACAAGATAGACAAAATTATTTCCCCTCACGGAGCTTACATTTCTGTGGAAGGAAGCAAACATTCATGATAAGTAGGTAAATTACATAGCATAATAAAAAATGGTGTTGTGTTACAGTGAAAAATAAAACAGAATGAGAGATTGCTGGTGGGGGAAAGAGATTGGCAGTATTAGATAAGAGTGGTCAGAGAGGCTCTCATTGAGAAGCAGTGTTTGTGAAAAAACTTGCAGGAGCAAGTTGTGTGGATGTCAGAGGGGCAGGATGTTCAGACAGAGGAAACAGTCTTCTTGGTGGCCTCTCGATCAGATGGAAGGGTGAATGAGTGCATGCCTGAACCTTCAGCTCTGCCTCCTGGTCTCTCCATAGGCCTGTCCCCTTGGTTCCTAGGTGCCATGAGGAAGCCGCGCCGGAAGTCGCGGCAGAATGCCGAGGGCCGGCGTTCCCCATCCCCCTACAGTCTGAAGTGCTCACCTACTCGGGAGACCTTAACATATGCCCAGGCCCAGCGGATCGTTGAGGTGGACATTGATGGACGCCTGCATCGAATCAGCATCTATGACCCACTCAAAATCATTACAGAGGATGAGCTGACCGCCCAGGATATTACCGAATGCAATAGTAACAAGGAAAACAGTGAGCAGCCTCAGTTCCCTGGTAAGTCCAAAAAACCCTCCTCCAAGGGCAAGAAGAAGGAGTCCTGTTCCAAACATGGATCCGGCACTTCCTTCCACCTCCCGCAACCCAGCTTTCGCATGGTGGACTCAGGCAGCCAGCCAGAAGCACCCCCACTGCCTGCTGCCTACTATCGCTACATCGAGAAGCCACCTGAAGACCTGGATGCCGAAGTAGAGTATGACATGGATGAGGAGGACCTTGCCTGGCTGGACATGGTGAATGAGAAGCGACGTGTAGATGGGCATAGTGTGGTGTCAGCAGACACCTTTGAGCTGCTGGTAGACCGGCTTGAGAAGGAGTCCTACTTGGAGAGTCGCAGCAGTGGGGCCCAGCAGTCACTTATTGATGAAGACGCCTTTTGCTGTGTGTGCCTGGATGACGAATGCCACAATAGCAATGTCATTCTCTTCTGTGACATCTGCAACCTTGCTGTACACCAGGAGTGCTATGGTGTCCCCTATATCCCTGAGGGCCAGTGGCTATGTCGCTGCTGCCTACAATCTCCATCCCGGCCTGTGGATTGCGTCCTATGCCCCAATAAGGGTGGCGCCTTCAAACAGACCAGCGATGGGCACTGGGCGCACGTGGTGTGTGCCATCTGGATCCCTGAAGTCTGCTTTGCTAACACCGTGTTCCTGGAGCCCATTGAGGGCATCGACAACATCCCACCTGCCCGCTGGAAACTAACCTGCTATATCTGCAAGCAGAAGGGACTGGGGGCAGCCATCCAGTGCCATAAGGTGAACTGCTACACGGCCTTCCATGTGACATGTGCACAGCGGGCTGGCCTTTTCATGAAGATTGAGCCTATGCGTGAGACCAGCCTCAATGGCACCATCTTCACAGTACGCAAGACTGCCTACTGTGAGGCCCACTCACCGCCAGGTGCTGCCACTACTAGGAGGAAGGGTGACTCCCCTGGAAGCCTCAGTGAGGCTGGGGATGAGGAAGGGCTGAAGGAGGGGTGTGGAGAGGAGGAAGAGAAGGAAGAGGTGGAAGAGGAAGAGGAAGATGAAGGCCAAGGTGGGGTAGGTGGCCCCCTCAAGGGACTGCCCAAGAAGAACAAGATGGCTTTGAAGCAGAAGATCAAGAAGGAGCCAGAGGAAGTGAACCGAGATACATCCTCCACTGTCCCCATGGTCACTGTCCCACAGATACCTTCTTATAGGTAAGCCTGCCCAGGAGGGCTCCCCGTGGACTGATAGTCTCTTCTTGGGTTGGTGTTGGCCCTGAGCCAGGACCTCTTTCCACAAGCATGGTTGGTGAATGTTTGTTCTCTTCTGTGCCGTCTCCTTTGGGCCCCAATCTGGTTTGTGGTTTTGATTTTGCCTTGAGAGCAATGTATTTCCTGTGCGAAAGGTGAGACAAACAGTTAAGTGGCTTAGAAACCCAGGTGAAGCGTGTCTAAGGCAATATTTTCTACAGGTGCACAAGTGACATTTGAGACAGGATAATTCTTAACTATTAGGACTGCCTCATACATTCCTCAATGTTTAGCATCCCTGATCTTTGTCCGTTAGTGCCGTTTGCATCCCCTCCCTCATTGCTTGGTCTTTGTGACAGTCTCAAACACTCCCCACATATGTTACCAAAACCTCCTGTGGTGATAGAACTGAGAACCACACGACTGCTGTCCAGAAAGCTCTGTCTGGGAATGATGGGGACTTTGTGTGAGGGGGTGGTGGTGTGGGGAAGACATAATCTTTCTCTTCTTGAGAAGCTTCTAGATTTAGGGGAAAGGATCACTTGGTTCAGTTGTATAGCTAAGCCACCTTGGTCCCCAGTGAGTCTTATAGAGAGACCATTGTACTTATTTTTAACCATCAGAGAAGTAGCTGTTGGAGGGCAGAAAAGCAAGAGACTGGAAAGATTTTCCAGTAGAAGCTCATCTCAAGGGTGATATTCTTTAGAAAGTATACAGTGTTGGAGCAGAAAAGAATATTGGAGATTATTCATCTAATGTAGTCCTTTCACCTTCTCCCACACCTCCAGATGAAGAATCTGCAGCCACAGGAGGTAGAGTTGTTCATGCCTTTGTTCATTCACTGAGGTGTTTATTGAGTACTTACTATATGCCAAGTCCTGTTCAAAGGGCTGGAACCAGGTGGGAAGCTATAGAACCTGACCACAAGCTGGGGCTCATGATGCCATCAGTCTCTGTTCCTGCTGTGTGCCTTCTCTTGTTGAAAAGGATAGGGAGAAGTGAGTGCTGGAGGGTAGCAGGGAATGAGTTGTAAGGGGAACAGGCAACCAGACTTGGCAGTCTGGGAAGGAGAAAAAGCAGAGAAGAGCAGGAGGGAGAGGCTCCTATGGCGAGCTATGGCTGGAATTAGAATTCAGTCAACTGGAAATGACTTGTAGTCACAGAGCTGTTGTAGGCTCTTCTCTGATGTTGAGTTGGTCCATGCTTAGAAACATTTGTAGGGTGGCTGTGCCCTGGGACTAGTCTCTTTGGTTGTCACATCTGCTCTGATAGATGTGTCTTAGAGGGGTCAGCATACCATGCTGGCTTCGAAAACAGACCAACCTGCTTTTGAATCCTGCTCCTGTTGCTAACTACCTGTGTGACTTTTGGCAAGTTACTTCTTTGAGCCTTATTTCTTTGTAAATGAACCTCATAGGGTTGTTGTGAGAAATAAAGGAGATGATGTAAATAAAGCACTTGGTACAGTGCCTGGTAAATAGTAAGCGCTCAATTAATGGTGGCTGCTGCTGCTGTTTTATTCTTCTTCTTCCTCTCTCTACCTACACAAATGCTATGGGGACACTCCATGGCCAAGAGGTTATAGAGGGAGGGGGCTGCCTGCATCTGGGCAGGTATGCTTGGCATGGGCATTGGTGGGGGATTTCTTCTTTGAGGAAAGGCTTAGATCTTGATTTTGTAAGCTTGGCTTTGGGGCAAGAATGTCTGCGGAAATGCATAGGGCACTTCCTTTCAGTGGATAGAGATGAAGAGAAAAAGTGGGGGGCACACAACAGGAGTATTGAGGCCTTGCTTATTACTCTTACTCTGTGACTAACCAATTTGGGGACACAGGGTGCTGTAGCAGAGAGATCACTGATTCAAATCCCATTCAGCTCCACCATCCTTCTGGCCACATTAGCGACTTTGACAGTTCATCCAGCCTCTGTTCCTAAGCTGCCTTTCCATCTTTTGTTACCATGACACTGATGTTACCCACCTTGCAACAGGACTATTAGGGTAAGATTATAGGCTCTTATTAATTCCCTCCCCTTTTGCCTCTACCTCTCCCACCTGCCACATATTATTGAGTAAGTCCTGACCTTAAGACTTCTCTATTGGGTTAATTTAGCCACCCAAGTTTTCAGATTCTCCGTCCTCTTATCCAGTTTTTTTTTTTCTCGTTTGTTTCAAAATTAGACACTTTTAGGCTGCTGAGATCGTTAATGAAAAACCAGAGGTCAGACGGCTCCGAAGTGTTGCATTTGAGCTCAGAGAGCCATAATAGCCTGGTGTACTTCTAGTTTTCCTTCCAGCTTGCTTGTGGACTATTCTCTGGTCTGGGGGGACCCTCAGCCACAGGGCGCAGGAAGTAGTGACCACATTGCCCATAGCTTACTCAAGTTCCTGCTCTCTTTTCCTGCCTTTATCAAGAGTTCAGGGCACAGGCCTATTTCGCAGGAGTCTAGGACCACAGGAAACAGGGTTCCTGGGAGAGAGTTCTTCTGGAGAATCAGGACTGTAAGATAGGGGGTGGAAAATCAAGTGATATATCTATCACATGCTGAATCCGAGCTGCTTAACTTTGCTTTCTTTTTTTTTTAAACCTTTCTCTGAGGTGAGGCAATTGGCCACTTGATTTCATCTTCTTTTATAAGGTTCAGAAATGAGCTAGGGTCTGAAGAGGAGGCTGTGATCAGGGCTGCCCACTGACCTTGTCTTTCACTTCCCTGTGCCTCCACTCAAGGTTGAACAAGATCTGTAGTGGTCTCTCCTTTCAGAGGAAAAACCAGTTCATACAGCGGCTTCACAACTATTGGCTATTGAAGCGGCAGGCACGGAACGGCGTCCCTCTCATCCGACGCCTGCATTCCCACCTGCAGTCCCAAAGAAACGCTGAGCAGGTAGGTGAAGTGATTGAAGATGGTGGAGGAGGTGGAGAGTGAAGGAGGAGGAGGGATGGTTGGGTCACCACTCCCTGAGCCCTCTGTAGAGCCTTTGTGTCAATAGGCAGTCACCCTTCCAGATGGCATCTCCCAGGAACGACCTCCAGCACTGTAGAGCTCTTGGTCCCAGACAGCAGCTCCTCCTGGATGGGGGAGGGTTGATTTTGGAGCAAATTCTAGAAGAGAGTAGAGAGCAAGCCCAACTTCCAAGTATGTGGGGAAAACCTTGTAGACATGGCAGAAAGGAAAAAATGGGTTTAATGAGGGCCAGGTGGCCATGTTGCATAAATTAGGACAAGGAGCATTTTTCTTAAGACACTGTACTGACATCTGCCAGAAAATGTTTCGTAGAAAACACACAAATGTGCCATCTAAGTTGTAGCACAGAGCTACAACCTTTGTGGTAACCTTTTAGCCATGGAACCTTGGTTGGAGGTCTCCTGAGAGACTTTTTTTTCCCTTTTTTTAACCGTCTTTAGTTTTTTCTCCCTCTTCACTTGCTCCATTACTTCTGCCTTTAAATATTTCCACACTATCACCGCAAAGATGAAGCAATCATTTACGTGACTCTGATGCCCCCTAAGTTCTGATTTCACTTTTGCCTTTTGTTACTAAAGTCCTGAAGTGCAAGTCTGTGTCTCCTCCCTCCTTGAGGTGGGGAGGATTGCCTGCTCCCCTGTAGCCTCCTTTGGAACGTCAACCACCTCCTCCCAGCCCAGCAAGCCTTACCTCACATTCTCACCGTAGTGGCCTTTGGGCTGCATTTACACCATGGATCACTCTTAGAGCTTCTCCATGACCCCATATCCCTCCTTCTCCACCTGGCTGACTGCACCTTGTGCTGACTTGACCTGTTACTCCTCAGTAGTAACATTCCCAGGGCTCTGATGCCTGCCCGTTTGCTGGGAGAGCTCATGCACTCTCATAGTTGTGAATAAGCGTGGCAATAGCTCCAGATTTCTTGTCCTCATCCCTTTTCTCTGCCTGTAGTCTCTCTGGGGCAGAGGAACTGCAGATGTCCGTGTAGATGTTGTTTCCTAGAATTTAGATATTGGAAACTGAATTCTTTATCTTTCTTCCTCTTGGTAAACTTATTTCTCCATTATTATTATTATTTTTAAAGATTTATTTATTTGAGAAAGTGAGAGCAGAGGGAGTGGCAGAGGGAGAGAGTCCTTAAGCAGACTCCCCACTGAGCACAGAGTCTGACATGCAGCTCAACCCCACAAGACCATGGCCTGAGCCAAAATCAAGAGCTGGACACTTAACTGCCTGGGTGGCCACCCAGGCACCCCTGCCCATTATTGACATGGAACCTTCTGCCTCCTGACCTCAGACATTCCCCATCTTGGAGTTACTTTTGATTCTTTTCTCCATAACAAGGCACAGTTAATCATCCCTTATGCTATTTGGGGGCAGTTTATTGGCATATGGTCTTTTGTCTCCATTCTACAGCTCACCCGCTCACCCATGCTCCCATAATTTCAGCAATAGCTTTCTAGGTAGTCTCCCGCCTCTAATTCTTTGCTGTTCAACTGATACTGTCTTACACACCATTTTCCAGAATATATTCCTTTTCCAGAACATAGTCCCCCTCTCCTGGCAGGCCACATGCAGGTTCCTTTGCCTGGAGTTGAAGCTTCTTACCAGCTAAATCCTGGAGCTTCCTTGGCTACTGTGGTTCTCCAGCCTCTCTGCTCTGGCCGGGCTTTTCTTTTCTTCTTTCTTTCTTTCTTTCTTTCTTTCTTTCTTTCTTTCTTTCTTTCTTCTTTTTTTCTTTTTTCTTTTTTTTTCTTTTTTTTTTACCAAGCAGAGAGTCATTTTTTTCTGCCTTCACACTTCTTCCCTGTGGTCCCTTTGGTTCCAGCAGAGGCCTTTCTTACTGCTTTGTTCACCTATGTCCATCACTACATGTGAAATCCTAGTAAGATTGCTTCTGTGGGAAGCCTTCCCTGACCTAAAACCAACCCACTCAGATCCTCTTTATCTTCTCAACATTTTATATTCAGTTTACCTTTGAGTTTTTATTATGTTTATGCTACTGTGCCCTTGTGTGTCCAACCCTGGGCCTCTTCCTTCCCCCAACTCTACTGTAACCTCTTTCTAGGGCAGGAATCACTCTTTTGAGTACTTGTAGTGTTTTAAAGTATGTTCAAGCCAGTTAGTACAAGCTGGTAATAAGAATTTTACTTTGTTTTTTAGCCAAGTGGCAGCTTTAGGATGAAATTCTTTCTACCTCGAGGTATTGGTTTCCTTCTGAAATTCTTTTCCAGCCCTAAGGGGCACAGCTCCCCCCCCCCCTTGGTATCCTCAGGAGGAGGGGAAGTCGTCCCAGCTCTCACTCCAGTGGTGCTTATTGTGAGACAGTTAAGAAGCATTGCTGGAAGGCTAAGGGAGTGCAGGAGAAAGGCATGGGGCAGAGAGGGCAGAAGGGCTCTCAGGAACATGGGTCAGCCAGGGTGTGGGGCCCTTACCTGCCGAGGCCCTGTGAGGCTAGAATAGGGAAAGGGCTCTGGACAGGAAGCGGGCCTCCAGCAACTCCTTCCTCTCCCTTCCTTCCTGCAGCGAGAGCAGGACGAGAAGACAAGTGCAGTGAAGGAAGAGCTAAAATACTGGCAGAAGCTCCGGCACGACTTGGAGCGGGCGCGGCTGCTGATTGAGCTGATTCGGAAAAGAGAGAAGCTCAAGAGGGAACAGGTGAGGAAGAGCCCCCAGCCTCAGGGCTTTTGTTCAAGATCTTTTTCTCCTACTGTCAGTGTGGCATGGAGAAAGCCAGGAGATCTGCCTGGTGTCTGCTTCCTGCTCAGCACTGTGGGCTCCAAGACCTGCCAGTCTGTACTGGGTATGGTGCTGCACATGGCTTCTAACTGTGGATTCAGCTTCTGGTGGCCTCATGCGGAGGCTCATTATCATCTGCCTGGGCCCCATCCCTGGAATTTCTGACTCAAAATCTCAGAGGGAATCTGGTGTTAAGTATTTTGAAAAGTTTCTCAGGCCATTCTGATGGTCATCACTGCTGGGAGCTTCTGAGAGGGTTTTCACTTGGCCCTTAAAATACTTACGGTCTTAACTTATTTAAATTTTCCAAGCTCTAGCCAAGGAGGGTCTAAGCATCTAAGTCTGAGGAATGTTGAGGAAGGTAGTGTAATGCAGGGGTTAGGAATATGAGTTGTGGCACTGGATTACCTGGGTTTAAATCCTGGTTCTGTCATTTAGTGCTCATGTAATATTGGGTAAGTTGCTTAATCTCTTTATGCCCATTTCCTTGATTATAAAATGAGGGTAACGATAGAACCTACATCATAAGGTTGTGAAGAAGAGATGACTTAGTATATATAAAGGGCTTAGAGCCATGCCTGGCATGTAGTAGGGGCTATAGAAGTGTCAACTGCTGTCATGATCATTATTGATAGTTTTTGCTTCCCTGAAGTGTCCACTGGCACAGTCTGCAGCTCACAGAGAGTAAGTATTATTAATTGAATGAATGGCAAGCCAAAACTGTTCTCTCCAGTCTAGGAATAACAACTATTACTTGCATGCTTCAGAGGCCTGGATTAAAGATGTTCCTTTTTCTCTTTCTCCAAACCCTACTTCACCATTGAGCTCCAGCACGAGCCTGTAACCTCAGTTTCCACCACCGAAACTAGGCAGCTCTTGCCATACCTAGCATGTCTGGGTGGCATGGAGGGCATCTCAGGATCTTCTCCATGGATTTAAATTGTGTTCGCCATCCTAGGCCTGGTCCGACAGCTGAGTTTTTCTTCTTCCCTCTGGTTCAGATAAATTAAAAGGAAAAGGAAGCAGGTGGGCCTGTTTTAATGTCACCAAGAGGAAGGAACATTTCATAGCCTTTTCACATACATAGGGCATACATAGAAAAGCACACTTGGGTTGGCTGAGGAGGTGAGCCTAGAGGCCCTAGTTATTCCAGGCCAACCCAGATGCCCCAAGGGCCAGTGGGATCAATATTAGCTTACTAAGTGGGAATTCTGGCCCAGGTCACATTTTATATCATCAGTGTGCTCTTTGAACTAAGTCAGTCCTGGGTTCAAATCCTATCTTGTTGGGTTAGTGACTTCCTCATACTCTCTCCAAACCTCAGATTCCATATTTGTAAAATGGGGATAGTAGCCATTTGTCCCTCAGGATTATTGTGATGATTAACCGGAGTAATGCAAGTAGAGAAGGCAGTATGGCTTAGTAGTGAAGAGCACACACTGTGGAATCAGACTGTCTGGGATTGAGTCCCTACTCTGCCCATTATTGGCGGTGTGGCCTTGGGTCAGTCAATTACTTAGTCTCGCTGTGCTTTGGTTGCCTCTTTATAAAATAACTCATCTGTACCCACCTCATACTTACATTGAATAAAATGTTTAGAGTGTTACTTGGCATTTGGGAGGGACTATGGACGTGTTAACTATTTTTTAAGTTTTGGTATGGTGCTTGATACATAGGAAACATTCACAGAGTGGTAGCTGTTGGTCATTATTTCTAGCTGAGGGTTGGGTGATCACTCCTCATGTACTGGTTAGCTTAATATCCTGTGAAAATTTGTGGTACGTGATTGGTGAAAGTCAGGTTATGAAGAACAAGTTTGGTGCCTCTTTGCAGGGGCATCCTGATCTCTTTCCACCTTTTGCACAGGTCAAGGTCCAGCAGGCTGCCATGGAGCTAGAGCTGATGCCATTCAATGTTCTGCTGAGGACCACACTGGACTTGCTGCAGGAGAAGGATCCGGCACACATCTTTGCTGAACCTGTCAACCTGAGTGAGGCAAGTTCCCTCACCACTTCCTGAGCAGTGAGCCCCTCTTGAACTGGAAACAGGGTCTGAATAGGCCAGGAAGGGGGTTGGGCCACAGGGTGGACAAAACCTGGGGGTTTCTGGCACAGCTAATAGTCTTGCTTATAGTGAGGGATCAGCAGGCCAGGGGGTGGGCCAGGGTCCTGGGGCTCTGACTGAGCCAGCATGCCAAACCAGAAAACGGGGAGGCAAGAGTGCTGGTGAAGGGTGCACCTGTTTGGCTAGTAAATGGTTGTTGTAATTGTACAGGTTTTATATGTTTAGGTTCCAGATTACTTGGAATTCATATCCAAGCCAATGGATTTTTCTACTATGAGGCGGAAGCTGGAGTCTCACCTATACCGCACCTTGGAGGAGTTTGAGGAGGACTTTAACCTTATAGTTACCAACTGCATGAAGTATAATGCTAAAGACACAATTTTCCACCGAGCAGCTGTCCGTCTGCGGGACCTGGGAGGGGCCATCTTGCGGCATGCCCGGCGGCAGGCAGAGAACATCGGCTATGACCCCGAGAGGGGCACCCACTTGCCTGAGTCACCCAAATTGGAGGACTTTTACCGCTTCTCCTGGGAAGACGGTGAGAAGCCTGGATGGGTGGGGAGAAGAAGGACTAGGAGGAGGCACAGGGATGGAGCCCAGAGAGCCAGGGACTGGGGTGGGCCTTGGAGCTACATAGGGTAGACACAAGGAAGAGAGCTGAGGGTAGGCACAAACTGGGATATACCTGCTTGTGGCTGCATTAGTTCCAAGAGTTAGAGTTTAATTTGCTGAGTGTTTCTGGAATGGTAGGAAAGAGAATTAGGTACTAGCTATCTATTTGAAAAGCTCAATCTTTAGCAGGGGTCTTCCTCTTCTGGATACCTTCTGTATGGCATGGAGCATGGGGCAGAGAGAGTGCAATACTAGTCTATATCTGGCTCTTTCAGAAGAGTGTAAGTAGAGGATCAGGAAAACAGAATTGCCTCTGAGCCCCACACTCTGGCTGCCTCGTGCCTACTCCACAGAGCCTGTAATTATGACTGTGAAGTGCTTCCTGCAGATGTTTCCCAGATTCTGACCTTGTCCCTGTGGCTGCCCTCTGGGCAGTGGTGTCACCAGGGCCAAGGCCCCATAGTGACGCTGCTGGAAGCCACTGGCCCAGGTGTTCCAGGAGAATATTTTGCATCCGAAGGATTCAGTCCCTTCCCCTTGCCCTGGGCTGGGCAGGTCCTTCAGCCCCTTCTGTCCTCCCTTCTCCCTGGCAGTGGACAACATCCTCATCCCAGAGAACCGGGCCCATTTGTCCCCGGAGGTGCAGCTGAAGGAGCTGCTGGAGAAATTGGACCTGGTGAGTGCCATGCGGTCCAGTGGGGCCCGGACCCGCCGTGTCCGCCTATTGCGCAGAGAGATCAATGCCCTTCGGCAGAAGCTGGCACAGCCACCACCACCACCACAGCCACCATCACTGAACACGACTGTGTCCAATGGGGAGCTGCCAGCCGAGGCCCAGGGGGATGTGACTGTGTTGGAGCAAGCCCCACAGGAGGAGCCAGAAGACGATGGGGACAGAGGTGAGAGACAGGAGCAGTCAGGGTTAGAGGCCAAGGTAGGCGAGTAAGGGTTAAGCCAAAATCTCATAGTGGAAGCATCTTTCCCTGAGTTTCGGTCTAACCTTTGTGGGTAAGTGAAAACCCTTGGAGGGGTCACATTTCCATATATATCCAGGGATGATATTCAAGATACTTATAATCAGAAGAGACCAAAATTCAGCAGAGTAGATATTGGCTGTTGTATTGGAGTGTGCTTCTGGGGACCATTGTTGTGGATACTTAGTTGCTAAATTGTGGACAGGTTTGGAGAATTTTAGAGCCTGGCGCCCAGCAGGTCTTTACTAACCAATAAAGAAGCATCACAGTATTTTGTACCTGATATGGTTGTATTGCACACACTAGTTAAATATTAGCTCACCTTAGACCATCACCTAAGTAGGCCCTTAGGGCAGATTAGGTTGTGGGGTGGGAGGATAGAAAAGGAAGATCTACCTCATGGCTTTGACTCCAGCTGACCCAGTCTACAGGCCCATCCCAAGCAGAAAGGCCAGATTGCAAAAGACATCCAGAGAGGATTCTCAGAGACCTAGCCTTAAAACTGAGCTGTTTTCCATCCTTCCCCTTCATTGGGGACAGAACTGCATTACTCATACAGGTCCTTGGAGCTGAGCCTATAGCTTATGGATGGTCTGCCACCCACACAGCCTAAAAGGGTTCAGAGTTACCTCCAGAGAGTAAGGGGCCAAATTGCAAGAAATGGCCCATTTTACTTTACATTGAGAATAAGGATATGGTTGGGAGGTCCCATTTGGCAGTCATTCTTTCTGACTCCCTGTGTGGCAGTCAGCTTGTCACTTGTATCCCACTCCTGGGCTGTGGTGATGCAGAGTCCTGTCCACTGGCTGCAACAGCTTCTCCCATAGGGTTTCAAAACAAAATTCCCAGGCCCCAGCTCCCAAAGATTCAGATAAAGTAAGTCTGGGCTGTGGCTTGGAAATTTTAATTTTTAAACATTTCACTTGGCAAGTGAACAGACATGTTTGGGAACCAGTGATTTAACTCTCATCTTTCCAATTGTAAACTTATTCTTTTTGCTTGTCCTGCTTGCTTGCTTTACTGGGTGATAAACAAAATATTATTGATAGAAGGAAAAACACTTGAGTCGAGTGAGAGTTGTATATTTCTAATCTGTAAATGTGAACTTGCCTGAGTATTGATTAAGTCATGGGCTTTTCTTAGATGTGGTGCAATGATTTGTGACTCTGTTTCATCAGACTCACCTGGTAAAGCCTTTTAAAAAAACCCCATCATTAGAGATTTAGTTTCAATTGGTCTGGGATAGGACCTTGACACTGGAATTTTTAAGAAACTTCCTAGGTGATTCTAATACATACAGTTTATAGTTAACTAATGTAGATAAGACTTAATCTTACATTCTCTTTGTCTCAGACAGGAGACCTGGGATATGTGTCAAAATTTATAATAGCCCCAAGCCTTTGGTTCGTGGTTATCAGTGTCATTATCTGGCTTGTAGGGACAGACTTTTTCTAAAATGTTCAAGCAGGTTCTCTTTTTCTCTAACAGACGATTCCAAACTGCCTCCCCCACCAACCCTGGAGCCCACTGGGCCTGCACCTTCCCTGTCTGAGCAAGACTCTCCTCCAGACCCTCCTACTCTGAAACCCATTAATGATAGCAAACCTCCAAGCCGATTCCTAAAGCCCAGAAAGGTGGAAGAGGATGAGCTCTTGGAAAAATCACCTCTGCAGATTGGGAGTGAGCCCTTGCAACGCCTGCTTAGTGACAATGGCATCAACAGAGTGTCTCTCATGGCCCCTGATGTCCCTGCTGGTACCCCATTCAGTGGCGTGGGCCGCCGCACGTCAGTCCTCTTCAAGAAGGCCAAGAATGGGGTTAAGCTACAGAGGAGCCCAGATAGGGCCCTAGAGAATGGTGAGGACCATGGTGCAGTGGGCTCTCCTGCCTCTCCGGCCAGCATCGAGGATGAGCAACACTCCCGGAAGCGGCCAAGAAGCAGGAGCTGTAGTGAGAGTGAAGGGGAGAGGTCCCCCCGGCAGGAGGAGGAGACAGGTGACCATACCTGTGACTTCTCTATTTCTCATCTACTTTCCTGCTTTGCCTTGCAGCCAACACCTCCCCTGGTTGGCTGCCTCCCTAATGGTCCCTGTGGACACCAATAGAAGCATTGGGGGCTCTGTAGCTTAGAGTTGGGCCTGGCACACGGGTACTGGCCTGGAAGAAAAGGCTTTGAGAAAGTAATTCCAAAGGACCAGATTTTGTCTGGGGCCCTCTTTGGCCCTGAGGGGAATGCAAAGTTATGTGCCATAAAGTGATTCTGACCTTCACTTCATTCATTCATCAGATACTTCTATCAGGCATTATTGTAGGCACTTGGGGGGGAAAAAATCAATGAACAAAAGGCAAAAATCTCCCTTGTAGGGGAGAAAGACTGGAAGCAAATGAGTGGATTGTATCTTGTATTAGAAGCTATACAGAAAGATCTAGCAGGGAAGGGGAATAGAGGATACTGGGGTGGTATTAGAGAGGGTGGCCAGGACAGGAGGAGACATTTGAGTAAAAATCTGAGGAGTTAAGGTGTGAGCTATTAGGATATCTGGGGGAAGAACACTTCAAAAAGATAGGCTAGAAAGTGCACAGGCCACAGAGGTAGCATGCCTGGGGACCAGTGAGGAAACCAGTGTGACTGCAGCACAGTTAGCCAGGCTATGGTTGGAAGTGGGGTTCCAGAGGCAGGTAATGGGAGCTCCATCACTAAAGAGTACTTACTACATGTCCAGTGCAAGCTGGTCATGGCGGGTCAGATTGAGCCCCAGCTCTGAGAGAGTTCACAACCCAGGCAGGAGACCACATGGTGTCCTAAGGTGCAGCGATGTTAGAGTGCCAGGCCGCACGTGATTATGTAACAGCACTGCTGGAGGCGTTCAGAGACTAGGAGCTGGAGGAGTTGGGAAGGTGCCACGAGGAGGCGGTGCCTGAGCTGGTTCTGTGGGATGAGGGCAGAATAGCGAGGAGTCGATGGAGCCAAGGGCTCATGCCTGGGTGCATGGAAACAAGGACGGAGTGCCTGCGAGGGACAGTTTGGAGGGGGGCTTCCTGGAGCATCGGGAACCAAGGCTGGATGGGTGAGCTGGGCCTGGAGGTGCAGACATATAGCTTAGTCTTAGTGGGATAAGGGAGGGCAGCTTACTTGGTGGGAGGGGCCTGCTCTTGGCTCTTGTTTTTTGTGTTGCTCTCTTGTCCTTTTATGTGGTAGCTTTGGGTTGTGTGGCCAGCACATTGCCTTTTTGTCTTCCTGCTTAACACATTGTTTCCAGCAATACCTTCCCTTCCCATCTGGCCCAAGCCTCCCCGCATTAAGGCAGTAGATTAGTATATAGAATCGAGAATCTGAGGCCTGGAGTTAGGCAGACCAGGGTTCACATCCCATCTTCTGACCAGCTATGTATGCTGGGACAGATTAATTAACCTTTCAAGCTTGTTTCTCATTTCCAGTAGGGGGCTAGTGATACCCCCTTGTGGGACTCACTTAGCACGCAGCAGTTGATGGCAGCAGTTACTGTTGTCCTGTCCGCTCTGTGAGGAGCAGCCACACAGCACTGAGAGCGCTGTGCACCAAAATTGAAAAATCCTGCTATTGGGAAGTAGGTCTGGATGTCAGGCTCATCCAACCTGAGAGGGCCCACTGTTCGGGGAATCTGCTAGAATCTATTCATCTCCTACTATCCCAGAGGCCTGGCATCGAGGACTATTTCCGTATGACTTTAGTGGAGTCTTACAAAAACAGGTGTTGATCTTTGGCAGGCATGCAGCTGAGGCGCAGCTGGCTTGTGATTTAAACAGAAGCCATAATGTTAGAAGCAGAGCCAGGCTGGAGTCCAGATATCTTGGCTCAGGCACCTGCTCTTACAGGTGTAACTTGCCTCACAGTGTTCTGGCCAAGCTATCTGTGACTGAGAGCTCTTGAGCTCTTGGCTCAGCTGCCTGACTTGTGGGATGCTGGCTTGTGATTAAGAATCGGATAATAGGGAGTTGAAGCCTCTGCAGCTAATGAGCATCATGTCCCTGGGATGACCAGACAGCCTTCATTTGCCTCCAAAGGGGCCCATTCTATAAACAGACCTTCTCTGATTCATACTTAATATTGTCTTCTATAAGTAAGAAGGTACTGTCTTCACAAAAGGAGAGGCAAAGGTTAAAAAGGAAAAGAGACCTATATTTCAGAGCCTAGTCTAGAACCCAGGAATTTTGATTCTCCATCCAGGAAGGTCAGGTCTGCTTTAGATCTATTGAAGTCCTCCCATCCTCAGCTCTGCCTAGCTCTGCTAGATATCTCTGGGTGTGGCTGACACAGCCGTTACCCTGCTCCAACCTCCCTTGACACCATCCCAAAAGAATGAAGCTAGCTGTTGCCAGCTGTGTGATGGATAGGGTGTGTGAGTGTTTATCTGAAGAGGCAAGGTGGGTGGGCTCCCCAAGAGACAGGGGCTCCCTGATAATTCAGGCTTGAAATTAGAAGCAGATCTCAGGGACTTAGGAGCCAGCTGGAGTGGGGAAGTCTTGGTATTTCTTTTTGTAGCCAAATGACAGTGACTGGTGTGAGCTGTGTGCTGTGTTTTCTTTCCGTTAAGTGAAAAGCAGAGGGGTGGGAAGGAAAATGCAGTGTCTACTCATTGCCCTAGCCAACATTTCCCCCAAATCTTTGTCAGGTTCTTTCCATCCCCCAAGACCCATTTCCCACATGAGAAGGAGCAGCCACCCTTTCCAGTCCTCCTCACTCAGCCCTCCTGAGGCAGCTGCCTCACACTATAGCCTGTGTTAGGGGGAAGGAGGTTTCTGCACTGAGGCTTACTCTGTGTGTCCTTGGCAGGCGTGACCAACGGCTTTGGAAAACACACCGAAAGCGGGTCTGACTCAGAATGTAGTTTGGGTCTCAGTGGTGGACTGGCATTTGAAGCTTGCAGGTAAGAACAGTTGTTCTCAAAGCTTGGTTGGCAGCTCCGCCACCTCTCCCTTTATTCTCCATTCAGCTACAGATGGAGCCTCCTCCTGCTTATCTAAGTTTCTTTCTTCCCCCGCCCTGGCTATTTCCTGAGACCTCTGGTCTGTAACTCTGGTAGCTCCTAGGAAATGGTGTGACCCTTGACTCTCAAGCCTGATCTGACTAGGAAGGGAGGAGTGGCGCTGATGCTTTACAGGGTTTGTAGAGCTGAATTTGGTTCCAGACAGCAGGGACAGCCAAATTTCAATTGCCCAGCAAAGTTAACATTTGAGCCAATCCCCCACCCATCCCGCTGGGCTGCTCTGATAACCCAGTTACAGACAAGGTTTTGCCCTTTGCCTTTTGGTGCATCATAACCAAGCCTTCTTTAGAGGTGTGGTGTGCAAATAAGAATTGAACAGATAGGAAGTTTGGAGTAGCCTGTTATTCAAAGGTCCTAACTCTTTTACCTTCCTTGAGTTGGGAAAGGATAGTTTTCTTTTCCCATTCTTTTATTGGAAGAGAGGATTTTTGAGACCAGAACATTAGAGTTTCTTCCAAGTCCAAGAGTTTATGCAATCTCTACTCTGTGTTATATGTGCTCTGCAAGACACCAGGAAGTGTGGGACTCTCGGAGATGGGAGATCCTCAGTGCCACAGAGGAGAAACAAGTTGTCCTGAAGGCTAACTCATGATTCCCAACATGATAATGAACTCCTGGGTTCAGAGTAGAGGAGGAAAGGTCCCAGGGCAGCACCAAAAGACTATGTTTAAAGTGTTTCCAAGGCAGGTTGGCAGGTTGAGCATGTGTTTTGTTAGGTACTCACTCTACCCTGGCTACTGGGCTCGGGAGGCGGCGGAGGGGCTGGGGGGCGGGGGGGCAGTGTGGGAGGACCTTTGAGATTTTCCTCTACCAAGCCTCAGGATCACCCTAGCTTTCTTCCTCCATGGCCTCTAGAGACATAGAGGCAGTGGGTGGGGAAGAAACAGTTATTAGTCATAGAGGAGGCAGAGCTTTCAGAATCTTACAAGATGCTTTCACCCTGGTCCTGGGTTGGAATTCCTAACTCCCTTCAGATATAATAGTGGCTGGAAACGCAGTTCATTGGGTTGGGGTAGGAGTGGGATTATCAGACTGTCCCCTCCTAGCTCTTGACTAAAGATGGAAGGTATGTTGGGCCCTTCGCTCCATGAAGAGCTCTTGTGCAGCCATGAATTCACAGGAAGGAAGCCAGACCAGCTTCTGATTAGCCTGCTGGTCAGGCCGTGTGTTTGCATTCATGCAGAATTCCACCAATTTCTGTGGAGCCCTGTTCAGTGTGGGAATAATGCTCTTGGAAAGCATTTCCTCTTTAACTCAGTGGATCTCAGTGGAATTTCAGGGTTTAAAACAAGAGGTTCAGGACTCCAACTAGAGGATTTTTCTTTTTCTTTCTTTTCTACCCCCCACCCCCACCCTGCACACTATGGTAGTGCCTATATAGAGAAAGATTTTACTTAATAATTAAACTGGAATCATATAATTCCAGAGATAGAAAGAATCTTGAAAAAACCTGTGATCACTAATCCCATCCCCCTCCCCTGTCCTGTCCTTATCTTTTCTGAGGATTTTCTGAGCAGACTGGGGCTGTGCCCTCTTTTTATGGGTCACTTATTCAGTTATTAATAATTGAGCACCTATTTCAAGCCAGGCATTGTTCTAAGTACTGATAAGGTGTGTGTTCTCATGGAGTTTGTCTTCTAGAAGGAAGAGATGAATGTTAAACCAGTAAACAAAATAATTATAGATTGGATTGGCTGCTTAGGTCTGCATGATTTAGGAAGAGGGCTGAAATGCAGGTCATGTTGAGTCACTTGTGATTTTTCCATGAAACAGGAATACATGGACCTAGTTGAAGTGTTACGTCTTATTTTATTGAACTCATCCTTGTCAGAGCTCATCATCTGATAGTACAACACTAGTAGTTTATGGTATTTAAAGTGACACATTAAAATTTACTGCCCTTCATATAATAATATTTGTTATATAACTATCATGTGCCATTTATTGAGTACTGGGTATATGCTGTACTGAGTGCTTTCTGTGTATTAATCCACTAAATCCTCACAGCAGCACATGGGGAACACTGGCCTCAGAGAGGGTAGGTCACTTGCTCAAGGTTGCAGAACTCATGAAGTGAAGAGGCAGGTTCTGAACCCATGTAGTCTGGCTCCAGAGTTTCTCTCTTAACCACTTTGTTGTGCCCCCTTTTATTTTATTTGAAGATGTCTCCCCAGATCCAAGATAGGAACTTTGAGAGGCCTTTGAGTCTCTAAACCCAGTGACAGATTATTATAGGGTGAGTGGGAACTGAATCTGAAATGTAAACTGGTTGTTTGTTTTTTTTTTTTCTCAAACAGGTCCTAATTTTGACTAGCAGGAAAAAAGCTACCAACCTGCCAGTTACTGATGGATTAGGATTCATTGGGTTCTGGTTATATAAGGTTTTCTGAATAAGACTGTAATAAAGTCAGCTATGATTTGGTAGAACAGGAGTATGCTACTCACCAAGCAGTCTCCTCACCAGCCTTTTTTGATCCCACCAGGGGTTTCCCAAGCAGGGGTTTCCCAAGTGTTTCTATTCTTCTGTGGATTGTTGCCCCATCTTTTAAGCACTTTTTTTTAGTTGAAAAAAAATTAGATAGCAGTGATATTTTTCAAAGTTTGGATAAGAAAAAGCCCTAACCACATCATTCTTGCCCAGAGGCTCACAACTATGGATGTATGTTAGAATTCCATTGAGAGGTATTTAAAAATGCAGATGCTTGGATGGGTTCCAGTTATGGCATTATTCTGGTATTACTGTTCTCATTTTTGCTTTATTACCTTCTAGTCTGCCTAATATATATATATGTTATATAACATGTATAATATATATATGTATTATACATACATACATACCTTTTTGCAGTAACCACATGGAAAAAAATTGGTCTGCTTGTTTGTTAAAAAAATCCATCTCTGTCTAAGAAAAACTTCACACACAAAGTGTAAGTAAGAAGTGGATTTTTTTTTCAACTAAAAAATGTCTTTTCTAATTACAAAAGTAAGATATGTCCTTTATAGGAAATTTAGGAAAGAGGCTTTTTTTTTTTTTTTTTTTTTTTAACCTCAAAAATAAATTGGTTTCTAAAGAAACAGTATGAACTGCAGAGTAAAAGAATTCTGGACAGATGTAAGACTGGCCCTCCTCCTGACGAGGCTGCTTAGACTCCAGAAGGATTGACAAGTGCCTAGAGTGACCTTTCTCTGGGTGAAGTCCAAAGTCCCTGGGCAGGGAAGCAGGCATCTCTTTCTAGAGTCCTTCCACAAGGATGAAATGGTCCCTCAAAGCCTCATGGAACTTTTATGGTCAGAAGCATAACATGGGTTGGTGTGAGTTGTTTAGGGGAAGGTGAGAAGCCATTTTCATTTAAGGGTTTTTACACCTCCACTTCTCTCAGAGATAGAATAGCAGTGGGTGCGTTAGTCAATGAAATTGCTCATTTCGCTCCCTCTGCCTTCTTGCTCTGTATGCAGTGGTCTGACGCCCCCCAAACGCAGCCGTGGGAAGCCAGCCCTATCTCGCGTCCCCTTCCTGGAAGGTGTAAATGGAGATTCTGACTACAGCAGCTCAGGTGAGGAGCGGTATACAGGTGGATCTAGGGGGCCCAGGCCTTCCAAAGAACCAGCTCTGTGGGCTGCAGCCAGACCCGATAGCTCCTCCAAGCTCTCAGGCATTGGGCACAGAGATGGCACCCCCCTCTCCCAGGTCACTCATACGCTTCTTTTTTTTCTTTTAGGTTCATCTTAAATTTGAATAGTAATATATGCCCATGATAACAAAAATCAAAAAGGTACAGAAGGGTACATAATGAAAAGCCAGGGGTCTCCTCCTTAGAACAACCACTGTTAGCAGTTTCTTTTGTGTCTCTCTAGATGTAGTTTATACATATATAAGCCAAAACTTGTGCATATATTCAGGAGAGTGGGTAGAGAAGCCTAATATACACGTGTTCCTCTAAACCATGCCTTTTTTCAATTAGTATGTCTTGGAAATCGTCTGTGCTTTTTTTTGGCTGCCTGATATCCCATTATCTAGGAGTGCCAGCCCTCTGCAGATAGACATTTAGACTGTTTTCACATATTAGTTATAATCAGTGTTGCAGTGAGCAACCTTGTACATAGATCATTTTGTATCTCTGGAGAGCATACACTTCTTTTTTTTTTTTTTTTTTTTTTTTTTTAGATTATATTTATTTATTCATGAGAGACAGAGAGAGAGGCAGAGACACAGGCAGAGGGAGAAGCAGGCTCCACGCAGGGAGCCTGATGTGGGACTCTATCCTGGGTCTCCAGGACCAGGCCCTGGGCTGAAGGCAGCGCTAAACCACGGAGCCACCCGGGCTGCCCAAGCATACACTTCTATAGAGAAGTAGAGTTGCTGTACTTGAAAGAAGTGTGTCTTTGTAGTTTCTAGAGACACTACCAGTCTGCCTTCACTGGAGTGGTTAGCGAGAGCCTGGATCACTGAATCACACATTGCCCTGTGATTTCATGTGATCCATTGCTTTCTGCCTTGTCTTCAGGAGACATTCTACTCAAGCTGGTCCAAGAACGAGGGATTCAAGAACAGGACAAGGCAGCGCCAAAGGGGGGAGGGCTGGCTGATGCTCAGGTGGAGTGGGTACAAAGCAGGCTGTTCTCCAAGTGCACCTCTGTGCAGCCCTCCTGTGGAGGGTGTGTGCTCTGGGTGCCCTGTCTTTGAAGTTTCCATCTAACACACAGGTGTCAGGGCTTCTTTCCTTTTCCCAACCATTTTACTTTCCCTTATCAGTTTCTTTCTCATATGTGTGTTGAGGAATGCATGCCTGCGTGTTTCACTGTTGTTTGTCAGTGCCCAGAAAGCAGGGCTCATATCTAGATAAATTGGAACAGCATCCAGTGCAAAACTGGCAGCGGATTGGCACATACATTGTGATTCTGGTAGTGACATTTTATCCTTATTTTTAAAACCACGTTCTTGTAAAATGATGCCAAAGGAAATTTAAAAATTTTGATCCTCTATTCTCCCATCATCACCTTAATTAACACAGTTGTCTTCATTTCTCTGTGTGGCCTTCTGTTTATTTCAGGCACATTTTTAACAAAAGGTTAATCCAGAACATTTAATTTTCTGCATTTTTCAGTGTTATCTCATACTTTTTCATGTTGACATGATCTTTATTTATCTCATATTATGGAACAATTTATTGTTCAGTTAGTGTATTATAATTTACTTAACCCTTTTGTTAGACATTTGGTTATTTCTGACTTTTCACACTATGCATAATGTAGTAAATGTGTATTTTGGTTCAAAATCCTTTTATTCATTTTTAAAGTTATTTTTCTTAGACTAAATTCCCATGGAAGGAATGTACTGAAGCAGATGATTCATATATTTTTTAATGGCTCTTGAGACATACCACCAAATTATATATATTTTTAAGATTTATTTGTTTATTTTGATAGAAAGTGAGAGGAAGAGAGGAAGTGAGTGCCTGCAAGCAGGGGGAGAGGGAGAGAGAGCATCTCAAGTGAACTCCCCGCTCAACATGGAGCCTATGCAGGGCTCAATCTCATGATCCTGAAATCATGACCAGAGCAGAAATCAAGAGTCAGGTGCTTAACTGACTGAATCACCCACACACCCCTGCCAAATTACATTCTTAAGGCTTAGACTGGTCTACACATTCTTCAATAGTATATGATTGCACCAGTTTCCCCACAGCCTGTGTATTGGATTTTATCTTTTTGTTGTTATTGGTATTGACTCGCATAAAAAAACAATGTTTCAGTTGGTTTAGCATCAGCCTTCAGCTCAGATCTAGCATCTGCTTAGGCCCAGATCATGATCCTGGGATCCTGGGATGGAGCCCTGCATCAGGCTCCCTGCTCAGTGGGAAGTCTGCTTCTCCCTCTCTCTCTGCCCCTTCCCCCCTGCTCATGTGCACACGTGTGTGCTCTCTAATAAATAAATAAAATCTTTTAAAAAAATACCTCATTATTAGTAGTATATTTTTTAAAAATTATGAGGGTGGTAGTATTTCCTTGGGAACATAATTTCCACTCTTTGGGATTTGGGCCTTTTTCCTTGGTCAAGTGTGGTCCCCTTGAGTTCCCAGTTTATAGATGTGGGGAGGGGAAGAGAGGAGGTTCCTCTTTCTGTTCAGGAGCATTTGTGAAGTGTGTCCATCCATGTGTGCTAGTGCCTCAGGTGCAGAAAGGAGTAAGCTGGAGAGATGTGGTGCTGCTCCAGGTGGGACACCCAGTGTAAGGTTCTGAGAAAAGCATGCACATGAAGGACCTGCAGACCTGCTTGGCTCTGCTGAGTGCTGTGTATCCAGGTGACCTGGATGGCCAGGCGTGGCCCTGTCAGAACAGAACTCATTTAGCAAGTGGTTTTACTGGAATGTCTGTTGCAGGGATCTTTTTCCGTGAAGCCTCTATCATGAGGCCTATCATTTAGGGAGCCCCAGAGAGCAGTTTGTGGCTTTGCCAAGCTGGGTGGTTATTTTTCTTCCTAGGGTCCTGGTGATGGAGCAGTCGCATTTTTCCAAGGAATACCATCTTAGGGTTCTAGTCCAGAGGTCAGCAAACTAACATATTGCCCGTTTTTGTAGGGCCTATAGACTAAGAATGGTTTTTACATTTTCAAATGATTGAAAAAAACCAAAAGAAGAAAGATATTTTGTGACACATGAAAATTGCATGAAATTCAAATTTCAATGTCTAAAAATAAAATTTTATGGGGACATAGCTAGCCATACTCATTCCTTTGCAGAGTATCTGTGGCTGTTTTCATGCTACAACAATAGAGTTGAGTAGTTTGCAACAGAGACCATGTGGACTGTAAAACCTAAAATGCTTACCGTTTGGCCCTTTACAGAACAAGTTTGCTGACCCCTGATCTAGTCTAAGAACTAAGGAAAGGGCAGGGAAGAGCAAGGGCGGAGGGGATGTTGCTGACTTATTCCTGGGTTGCTCCAGTCAAATGGAGGCCACAGGCAGGCCTCCTGGGCACCATTCCAAGTCCCCTTTGGGTGCTGTCTCCTCCCCTCCTGACCCCCAGGCAGAAGCCTCCTGATGCCCTTTGAAGACCGCGGAGACCTGGAGCCCCTGGAGCTGGTGTGGGCCAAGTGCCGAGGCTATCCCTCCTACCCTGCCTTGGTGAGTCTGCCCCAGACACCACCCCCCTTCCTTCTCTGGGCTGTCTTGCCTTGGGGGCTTATCTGATTGGATCAAGCCAGCAGAGTGTGGTGGGAGAGTGCCTTTAGCTGCAGAAGAGAGGGAGGTTTTACCCCAGCCTGGGTGGGTCAAACCATCAAGGTCCCCAGCTTGGAGCACTCAAAATAGGGTAAAAGTATGAAGATAGAGACTAGGGCTCGTGGGAATTTAATAGCATTTGTTTGTGCATAAAAGTACTACATGTTCATTGTAAAGAATTTATTTAAACGTTTGTCATGCTAAATTCTTGAAATACTGAGATATGGTTTTTCTCATTTTGTGGGGAAGAAAATTGAGGAGCTATCTGTTGCATGTGGTCATCTAGCTATTAAATGGCAGGGTTGGAATTTGAGCCCAAGAATCAAAATGTGATTTTCAAAGACTGTGTTCTGAGCCACTAAGTTCAAAATCACCCATAGTCTCGTCTATTCGGAGATTACCTCTTGGTATATATCTGTTTAGCTTTGTTTTTTTAGTGAGTAAATATGAGACCATACTCTAACCTCCCTTTCATATAACAGCATTCCATGAACACGCATGTCTTGTGTCATTAAACATTCTTTATGAACATCACTTTAACGACTGCATTATCCTCAGTTGTATGCATGTGTCTTTTTTAACTATTCCTTAGTTGGGTCATTTAGATTGTTTTGAATTTTTCACTATGATAAATAGCTGGCAATAAACATCACTGTAGTTTTACTCTGTGCACATCATGATTATTTCTGTACAGTGAATTCTTAGGGTGCCTTCTTGGGACAAGGTGTCTGCAAAATTCTGATACAAATTGCCAAGCTACCCTTTTAGAAAATTACTTCCAGTTCCTACTCCCACCAGTAGGAGCTAAAATTTCTATTTTTTCCAATGTAGCAGTAGCTGAAAATTCCATTTTTACCACCTTGATTGCTATTTCTTAGAACTCTTTCTGCATCAGGGAGGTAATGTCCATCGGGCACTAGAAGATAGTGATTCTAAACCTTTGGGCATGCCAGAATCTTGGGGGAATTTTTTAAACAATACAGATACTGAGGTCCTATCTCAGAACAACCCAATTAGACTAAGGCCAGACTGAGCTATGAATATTTTTTAAATTTTAATTTAATTTTTTTGTGTGAGAGCGTGTGTGTGCACGAGAGCTCAAGAGGGGAAGGGGCAGAGGGAAAAGGAGATGGAGAATCTTAGACATGCTTCACACTCAGCACAAGAGCCTGACACAGGGCTCAGTCCCACCACCCCGAGATCATGACCTGAACTGAAATCAAGAGTTGGATGCTTAACCAGCTGAGCCACCCCTAAAAAATAAGAATATATTATATATTTTTTAAAGCTTTCCAGATCTATAGCCAGGGTTGTCCACTATCCTGCCAACCACTTGCATGCATACAACATTCTGGGCTTCTCTCAGCTCTTTTTTTTTTTTTTTTTAAGAGTTTATTTATTCATTCATGAGAGACACAGAGAGAGAGAGGCACAGACAGGCAGAGGGAGAAGCAGGCTCCATGCAGGGAGCCCGACGCAGTACTTGATCCTGGGTCTCCAGGATCACACCCTGGGCCAAAGGCGGCACTAAACCACTGAGCCACCAGGGCTGCCCAGCTTTTTCAGTTCTAATAACAGCCTCTTAAGGTCAAGAGGGCAGGAACTCTGACCCTTTGGGATTAGTGAGGAAGCTACAGCTCTAAGAGGTCATACAGCTTGCTGGGGCCATACTGGAAGTCATGTCACCTACCTCACTCCCCATTTAGCAGTGGCATGTGGGGAAATCCACGCTGTGATCCAGCCGTTAAGGAGGTTGGGCCCGGGGCCTGCCTTCATAAGGCTCTGTGCCCTTTTGTCAGTGAGACAGCCAGTAGTTGTCAAGGAAGTGTTTAAAGCTATACAGGTTTGGTACTGTTTTTTTAAGTCTCACAGTGCAAAACAAAACTGGTCTAAAACCAGCTTTTTTTTCCCATTTTAATTATCTTTTTAATCATACATTTTCTTTCATGATTAAATAAATTCAGCCACCACCTGAGAAAACCCACTGCCTGAACATAACCTGTGTTTTCATTTTGGTTTACACTCTCCCAATTGTTCTCCTATGCATACTTAAATATGTACTTGTATCCATAATGAATATACAGTTTAAAATTTTTTTTGACTCTCATTTTTAAAAAAAAGGGTTTTTGTTTTTTTTTTCCTCTAAAATAATGTATCTATGTTATTGAAATTTTGGAAAAATAGAGAAAAGCAGCAGGGACCCTACCATTCTAGCATGTCAGCTGTGAGCATTTTGTGTCACTTGTATTTGTTTATGTAGTGCAGCCATAATAATTGTGTATACACACATTTATCACATAATGTGTTAAAGTGTATCATAAGCCATGCTGTTTTACATCTGAATAACATTTGAGTGAATGGTCCATTGTTTATTATTTTGGGACATATTTGCCTGTATCTTCTTTAAAAGGAGAGGCAAACTCTCCTTAAGGGGCAGCTTACCCACTTTGCTCCTGCCTTGGGGGGACATATTTCACCATCTACCCCCTTGTTCCAAGGCGGGAGCCAGCATGGCTTAGTCAAGAGGAAACATACCAGAGAGGCCCACTATCTCGTTCAATTGAGGAAGTTCAGGAGGGCTTGTGTGGTGGTTCTCGTTAGGAATTTTAGTTAGCTTTAATCCCGGCGGGGACAGACAGGCTGGGAGATAGAGTTTTGACCAAATTACACAGCTGGGGGCTGGGTTGGCATGGTTCTTCCTTAGAGTAAACTCTTAACCAGAACACCTGCTTTCAGCTGCTTATCTTGCAAGGGAAGTAGGGAAGCTGGCAGACACCCAAAGGTAAATAGCTAGGGCAGTTTATTATGAGAACAGGCCCCCTGGGACCGGGTATAGAAATTAAGATTGTTGCATCTCTGGAGAAAGCCACTTCCTCAGTAAGTTTCCAGGCCTCTCCAGCCTCAGCACACAGAGAGTATTCACTGCTTTGAAACGGGCTGTGCAGGGCAGCAGGCAGCAGAGGCTCAGGCCACCATGGCCACAGCCCACTCTGTCCTCCTCTGGGCTTGGTGCTTTCCTCCCTCAGCAGGTAGCTGTCAGCAGACTTCTCGGCATCAGCAAGAAGATGAAATTTAAAAAATTAAAAATTAAAAAAAAGATGAAATAAAATGATATGTGAATAACTAGGGGCTTTGGTCACTTTGTCAGTGTTTCATAGAGCTAGAGATAACTGTTGTGTCAATGCCACTGGGCGTTTTGCTGAGCTCCTGTTCTGTGGAGCTTGCCGCCTTGAGCACAAATTCTTCCAGTGACCCTTCTTTCTGGCCACATCATTCTCCCTTCTCCAGCAACCCCTCAAGTTCAGTCTTACCGCTTCATTCTGATCTTACATGGAAGTGACACAAAGGTATCTCATGCACACAGGAGGACAGTTATAGTCAGATAGGAAGGTAGCAGGTACTCAGGGCTCTGTTAGGTAGAACCAAAGGGATGGGTTCTTCTGCTGATCCAGAACCTCTTTCATGGCCATGGTGTCTAGGGAGGCACCAGAGTTTTTAAAGTGAATTATAACGATTTTAAATGGCAATTGATAAGGGAAAAAATGGCTTCCACTCCCCCTAAAGGATGTTGGGAAGAAGGAATTTGCCAGTCTGGCCTGGACATCACAGATCCCCCCTCAATTCTGACACTCCCATACTGGATTCACCTTGCTTCTGTTTCAGCTCTGGGCCCCCAAGTGTTCATGGAGTAAGCTCCCTCATCAGAACTGGTTGGGCAGGGCTGGAGGATTAGGCAAATGAACTGGGAAAGAGTCGGACTTGCATTTGGGGGTCCTGGCGGTTCACAGAAGAGGTCAGCTCCCTTTGTCACCTGGCTGTGGGCCTGGCCAAGGCCCTGCATAGCTTGGTAAGGGGTGGTTCAGCAGGGAGTCCTGGCACAGCGTGCTCTGCTCACCCCATCCACCCGCAGCTGAGTACCTTCTCCTTTCCTGTCTCTAGATCATCGATCCCAAGATGCCCCGGGAGGGCCTCCTGCACAATGGTGTCCCCATCCCTGTCCCCCCGCTGGATGTGCTGAAGCTGGGAGAGCAGAAACAGGCCGAGGCTGGAGAGAAGCTCTTCCTTGTCCTCTTCTTTGACAACAAGCGCACCTGGTGAGTGAGTGCTACTTTCAGGAGGTTGCACCAGGGTGTGGACTGAGGGGCCCAACTGGGAGGCTGTGCAAATACTGCCATGCTGGGGAAGTCCACAGAGGGGCTGTAGACTCCGTTACCCTGCCTCCACTCAGGTAAGGTGAGGCATTACCAGCAGTTGGCCTGCCCCTGACACGTTCATAGTAACTGAGGAGAGTCTCAAATCAGATTCCCTCAGAAACACTGTGAGATGGAAATTTCTATAATGAGACTTACAGGGGAGACCTGTGGGGATGAGGGTTGCAGTGCTAGACAGGGGAACATGTTGAACTGTAGCACGCTTGCTATGGAGGCCTCCATTGATCCTCAGGGGAGCCCTGGAGCTGGGGTTTTGTTAATGATACCAGGAATTGGGCCTGCACCTTTGTACCTTCGTGTCAACTAATCATTGAATGCTGGCTGCCCTTGGAGATGGAGGTCACCTTGGGTCATGTGGCTCCCTTGTTGGAGGGTGATTCCTGGAGAGGAAGAGAGCCGGCTGAGAGCTCCCCGTGGCCGTGGGCATGTGTGTCTTAATCCTGGAGTGGGCGGATATTGAGTGGGTTGGTTCTGGGCAGTGTGGGCTCCATGGCAAAGGGCTTGCTTGCCCTTCAAGGTTTCTCTTGGCACCAGGAGACTTCTTTCACCTTTGCTTCTATAGAATGAGAAAATGTAGGCCTAGCTAACCCAGATAACAGTAGCTACCATTTATTGTTCACTCCATGCTCCTGTGCAAATTTATTTACATACATAATCTCATTTAATCCTTAAATCTTCACCAGTCCCCTCCCAATCCATTTTTCAGATGAGAAAGCTGAGGCTTGGAAAGCCAAGACCCCATTGCCAGAACTGGGATATGAACCAAGATCTGGCTCCGAAGGCTGGCTTTTAGCCAGATGTTAGACTCACCTGGGGATCTTTAAAAAAAAAAAAAAAAAAATGAGGTGTGGGCACCACCAAGGTATCATTGATTCCTGGTATTGGTCCCAGTTCCTAGCCAGAGCTCCCTGATGCCCCAAGGTGGGGTGGAGCTAACCGTAACATGGACCTCTCGGCTTCTGGGTCATGACAGCCCTCAGAGTTGAGTGCCATGGGTTGAGGGAAGGGCCTGGCTGCAAACAGGTCTTTTGGTGGCCTCCTGCCTGGGTTGGCCCAGTCCATTTCCTTCTGCTCTATCCCCTCCACTGGCTTTGCTAGTCTTGGGCATATGGACCCAGAGGAGCCCCTTTGTGTGACCCACTGCAGCCCAGGCCTCTCACTGTGCTTGTATTTTAGGCAGTGGCTTCCAAGGGATAAAGTGCTGCCCCTGGGTGTGGAAGACACCGTGGACAAGCTCAAGATGCTGGAAGGCCGCAAGACCAGCATCCGAAAGTCGGTGCAGGTGGCTTATGACCGTGCAATGATCCACTTGAGCCGGGTCCGGGGGCCCCACTCCTTTGTCAGCTCCAGCTACCTGTAAGGGCAGGGCCTGCCTGTGTCTGCCTGCCCTGCCTCTGTCCCCTGAGGCACAGAGGCCTCTTCCTGCCCCAGCCAGTCTTATGGCCGGCAGTTTCCCCTTTCCACAGCAGGCCAGGGACTGGGCTGTGTCCTGCCCAAGGGCAAGGCCCCAGTTTTGAACAACCTTGTGGTTCCCCTGGTGGGCCTGCTGTGTGCCAAAAACTCCCACCTGAGCTTGCTCGGGGGCTAGTCCACTAAAGAATCAGTTAGAAGTAGAAATAGCTGTGAGGCTTAGGCCTGGCCAAGGAGATGCACCTGAACCCAGAAGGCAAGAAGTCCTAGGCTCTTTCTCAAAGGTGTGCCTGGCCCCCTCCTCCCCACTCCGGCTAACTACACCTCAGGGCAAGTGACGCTCTGAAATTGACCCCAGAGGTGCTGTGGATACACGAGGGTCCCGCAGGGAAGCTCACAGAGCTCACCCTCTCTCCCCTCCATCACCCATTCTCATACCTCTTCCCCATCCCATCTTTGCACCAGTGCCGTCTCTTTTTCCCCATGTTCCTTTCCTTTCTTTTGTGCCAAATGGACAGAAACTGTCACCAAACTGGTCTTTTTTCTTTTTATGTCTCATTCCCTTTGAGGCCAGCTGCTATGCTAGGTGGGTATCTCTGCCTGGCTCCTCAGGGCCCAGGACAGAGGACAGCCTACCACTCGGGTGACCCCTCCACCAGCATGCCCTCCCCCTCCATTTGCTGCAGACACACAGCTAAGGCCAGGCTGTGGAAGCTTGCCCCCTTGAATTGAGGCAGGCCCCTTTTGCCCTCTCCCTGTGTGCCGAGAGACGGGCTGAGGCTTGGCAGGCTCCTGTCAGACCAGGCTGGTTGGGTGGGCGTTCATCTGTCCACTTGGGTGCGGAGGGCTGTGGGGTGCAGCCGTGCTCTTCAGCCGGTCTGATCCTTGCCCTCCTGTCCTGTCTCTGGGGGCTTCACTCTCCGCCACCACGGATGGTGGTGCCCACAGCCCAGCATCTCCCTGCCTGTGCTCTGCCCTGCCCAGCCTCTGCTGCTCCCACTCCCGAACTCCAGGGGACACCACGCTTTTATTTCACACCCTCTCTCCCCTTCCCTCTCCTCCTTTCAACCGCCCTCCTCACCTTCACCTTCTCAAAAACGGAAGGGAAAAAAAACCAAACTGTGAAACTGGGAATGCTGACTGACAAACACAACTTTCAGAGGCTTCAGTGTCTGTTCTCTGGATGATTCTTCTCACCTCTTAAGCACCAAAGTCGCAGGGCCAGGTCGCAGGCCACTGATCGCCATGTTGATTTTTAACCTGATGTTCTTTTTAATTGTTTTAAATTTTTCATAGGGGAGTTTTGGACAAAACAAAGTCACTGGGGAGATCACTGCCATTTTTACACACTCGACTTTTTAAAACTACAACCAACCAACCAACCACCACAACTTCTTATATGTTTGGGACATGAGCCAGAGTTTAAAAGGGAACCAACAAAACTCTCTGTTACCTAAAGGATGGGGTTTTGGATTTTGTACAATAATAAAAATACAATACAGCATATGGCTAGGGAAGGACATGGTGTATATATAATTGTAAAATACTGTTCTAAATTATTCAGGCCTATAGTTTCCATTCCTGGAGTCCTCCATTGTGTGGCTGAGTATTTTAAATGCACACAGTGTGGTTTATTTAAAGGAGTCAATGTGTCCCCCCTTCTCCCCAGGTAGTCGGTCAGCTGTGGACTCTGTGACCTTTGTCTCAACCTGTGTTGTAAGATCTCGGGGCTTTCTCTCTCTCTCTCTCTCTCTCTCTCTCTTTTTCTCTCTCTCTCCCCCTCTCTGTGTGTCTCTCCCGCCCAACACTTTCTTAGTCTCTTCTTTTTTTTTTTTTTTTCCAATCTCCTTAACTCTTAAAGTCTCTCTCTGAGTCTCATTTTTAAAACTGCTCTTTTAGAACGGGAAGCGGCTCAGATCCTGCTGTGGCATGGGGCCTATGTGTCTCAGTCGCGTCTGCTGTGAAGCACACGATGCTCTATTTATTGTAGAAAGTGACTTTATTTGCTTTCTAGAATTGTTTATAACAGATGGTATAAGAGAGGTAATAAACAGAGAAAAATCTATGCTTGTAAAGAATACAAAAGTTAATTTTACCTACTATAATATGACTGTCTGAAACTTATTTTCTCTCTGAGAAATAAATGTTCTAATGGGCAGCAATTGCCGTGCTGTGTTGGTGTCCTCAGTGGGGGCTTGCCCCTCTCTTCCTAATCCCTGTAGCCCACCCCCTCCCCAGAAGGCAGGAGCCATTAAGAATGGGGTTGTCTAGCTGTTGCAGGCTCCCAGCAAGAAACTCTGTCTCTTGGAATCCCCAGGAGGTGTGTGAAGATGGGCTCTGGCATTGTTTCCCTCCCAAACAGCACTGCCCTCTCAGTTCTGTAGAAGGTCCAACCCGCCTTCCCATGCCTCAGCTTTCTGGTGGCCCTGTCCCTTTGGGAGCATCTGTTCCTCATGGGGTGGGTGAAGTAGCCCTATGTCTCTGACACCTGTTTATTCGAGAATGCTCATGTCTCCTCTGTCATTGTTGCCGTCCCCATTCTATAGATAGATAGCTGGGACACATAGGCGTAACATGGGCCTCTCTCCTTTCAGAGCTGGAAGGGATCCTAGCGCCTACCTGGTCTTCATTTTACAGATGACAAAACAGCAAGATTAAAAGACTTGTCCAAAGACAGCCAGCCAAGTAATGACAGCGGAATCCTGGGAAAGAGATCTGGCCAAGCGTTTCCTAGTGGGCTCCACAACATCTCAAGGTTATACTGGCCTTTTCTGTACCAGCCCCCCTCTCCCATTGCCTGTGGCTCCAGCCTTTCTGGAAAGGAACATTTTCAAGAGCAGAGTGAGCGTTCCCATGGACTAAGTGCCCTGTTGCTGGGCTGGGGACAGCTTTTTCCCCATCGCCTCCCCTGTTCTCTTTCTGCTCCCGCTTGGCTCCTGTACTTGGCTGGGAGTTATGTGTCACAGCAGTGTGACTAGGGGACCAGGGACTCCTGATCACCTCCCCCACGGGGCCCTCGAAATTCTTAGTGAAGTCACTAGAGTGTAAAAGTGCTTAATTTGATAGAACATTGACACAGTACCTCTGAGGCACTGATTATTCTGGAATTACGCATTGGGAGCACAGAGATACACGCCCCTGGTCCACAGGATGCAGGTGCACAAGCTGCTTACCACCAGGTTCACGAGACATGTCGCAGACAGCTCCACGTGAGGCCAGCGTGAGGCTCCCACGGTGGGGAGGAGTTTGGCAGAGACCACGTTTGGATAGCAAAAGCTTTCAGAAGAATGAAGAAATTAATTCAAGCCTGAAAAAATGGGCTTAAAGATCCCTGTTGATACATGTATATTTTGAATTACAAGGCCAGTATTTAGAGCAAAATGAGACATGACCCTATAAAACCATTTTGTACCTAAAGGAAAAATGATCAGAGGGGTGGGGTATTATTAGCAGGTGAGGATGAGAAGAAAAGATGTGGTAAAGAGAGGGTTCAGGGAGGTTTGGCGGGTGCTCCACTCCAGTAACTAACTGCCGCCCCATCTGCCTGGTGGCCACTGAAGATGGCAAGAGGGTGTGTTGGGGTTCAGAGCCCTGTCACTGACTGCGTGACTTCAAGTGTAGTACTCGACTTCTTTGAGCCTCTGTGAGGCTGACTTAAGTAAGAGAGGACCCTGAAGCCAGGGCGAGGCATTAGTGCAGCATTGGAGGATTAGAACAAGGGAAGGGACAGGACTGGAACGTGGCAACTGATTAGCTGTCAAAAAAGCAGGAAATTTGGAGACAGGGCTGCTACATGGCTGGAGGCATCAATAGTGGGTTTGAAGGGGGGGGGAGGAGAACCTAGTTCTGAGGAGTTTGCATTGCCCATGGGACATCTGAGAAACACCCTCAGCAAGCAGATTGGACTGGGCCTGGAGTTCAAGAGGAAGGTAGGATCACATGAAACAAATGTGGGGCACTGGAGCCCACCCAGGCAGTTAGGACAGTGGCCGACCGGGAAAGAGGGCCTCATGAGGAGGAAGTCAAGTCCTAAGGGTCACCTAAGGGTCATTTCACAGAAAGAGGCAGGTCACATGTGCTCAGCATCACGGAGCAGGAAAGGGTAGTGCTGAACCAGAGAGAACCTGGAACCCAGCACTTGCCACTCTCCATGGGCCCCTGTATTCAGAGCTCTCCAGGTGAGAAGTATCCTTAATGAATTCTGTCAACACTGTGATCGAAATTCATGGACCGGTGTCTAAAATACTGTGATACTGGAGCATGCGAGGGTAGGTACTGACTAGAAATACAAAATATCATTTTCCTAATAAGTTTTAAAGTATAACTAAAGCCATTTGCCAAACCCTGTCAACGTGGCCTCTTCTGTTAACGTATTAATTGTCATTAACACTTGAGTGTGAATTTGCCTTCCAGATGGACTCCCTGACCAGGCAAGGCTGTGAGCTTTAGCTCTGAGAGAAGAGGGATGAGTGGTGAGACTCCCAGGCCCTGGGAGGGGTGCCGAGGGGAGACAGAGGGTGGGCTGCCCCTGGGTCTGCAAGCCCTCCTGTGGCATCTGCACGAGGACGAGTGCGAACATTCTATCTGACCCTGCCAGTGAGGGAAGGAGGACGATGTTGCAGGAGAGATATGGTTCCTCCAAAAGGTGGGGCAGAGGTTTCTGCCTCACTGTGTGGGGGGAAGTGGGGCCAGAGGTGTGTGTCTGCTAGGCCGGAGTTAGAGGGGTCTCTGACTCAACCTTGGCACTTGGGGGTGCCCTCCTGCTTGCCCTTTCCCTTCCAAGGGCAGCAGACGGCGCTAGGGATGGAAAGAAAAAATGGATATACATATGTATTTTCTACAAGGTTAATATCCTTTTTTAAAAAGATTATTTATTTATTTGACAGAGCACAAGCAGGGGGAGAGGTAGAGGGAGAAGGAGAAGCAGACACCCAGCTGAGCAGGGAGCCGGACGTGGGGCTCGATCCCAGGGCCCTGAGATCATAACCCGAGCCAAAGGCAGATGCTTACCTACTGAGCCACCACAAGGTAAATATTCTTGAGAGGGCCAGGACTCAGGCTATGTCCCCAAATTTCAGAAGGGTTGTTGCATTGTTAGGTCAAAGAATACTGTATCCTTTGCTTGGCACTTGGGAAGTGGATTGGAAATAACTGGTTTCACTCTAATTGCTCTTGCTCCTAAGCAGTGTGAGTTCCTCCTCCTTCTTCCTCTCAGCCTTGTAGCGGCTTGAGAGACACAGAGGCAGCATTGGCAATTCAGCACTGACGGTTCCTGATGGGCAAGGGTGCTAGAGGCACGGGTACCCCGGGGTTGGCCCCATCTCCCCTAGCTACACGGTCCAGGAGGGCACCCAAGGGATTTTATCTGAGCTAGTGATGGAAGGTTATAAAATTTGTTGTTCGCTAGCTCATTCAGAACTTTGTTTTTAAAAGGAGAAAATACGGTGACTTGTACTACCCAGAAATAACCATTTCTACCATTTTCATGTAATTCCCTGTAGTCTCTTGTTTTTTGCCAGATAGAGCATGTACTTCCAGTTTCTTGTACTGGGCAGCTGGGTAATCGGCTGTCCCGAGAGGCTGTGTGTTCTGACATCAGTGCAGGAGTTCTTGGCATGACTGGAACATGAGGCCCAACCCCTCTCCTGCCTAACTTTGGCCTTGCTGTGTGTCATAAACTGGCCCAAGCCAACTGTTGCCTGTTTTTGTTTTTTTTTTCGCCTTTGTTTTGCTAACATATTCGTGGTCTCCAGCAGTGGAAATGAAGTGGGAGTTATGTATCTCTATCCCAGGAAATTTGCTACTTGTTGTGCTTTTGCTACTCTGTGTGCTCCATGGAAATAAATTCTAGACCAAATTCTGCCCTGTGTTCAAATATCCGTGAATAAGGACACCCCCAAGGGCCATGTCATTTCTTCTCTAGCTTGAGAAGTTCCCACTCTGCCCTCAGGTTCTGCCACCACCACCTGGCAGGGAAGGTCACTCCAAGCTACACACAACTCTGTTCTGAGGGCAAAGCCAACAGCCAGGTAGTCAGGCCAGGTTGCAGAAGCAGTGGAGCTTTAGAACTTGAATTCTATTATTGTCGTTGTTTTTAAAGATTGATTTATTTGTGAGAGAGAACATGTGGGAATGGGAGGAGGAGCAGAGGGAGAGGGAGAATGTGAAGCAGGCTCTCTGTGGAGTGCAGAGCCTGATGCAGGGCTCGATCTCACTACCCTGAGATCACAACCTGAATGGAAACCAAGAGTCGGTCACTTAACTGACTGAGCCACCCAGGCGTCCCTTTACTGTTGTTTTACATACAACTTTACATATAGTAATTAAGGTACACACCTTAGGTTTAATCTATGAATTTTTACATGTGTATCCACCCATGAAACCACCGCCCACATTAAAGTCCAGAACATTTCCAGTGCCCCAGAAAGTTCCTCATACTCCTTCCCAGGCAATATCCCCCTTCACTAAGGGTAACTACTGTCAAGGCTTCTATGGCCATAGATTAGTGTTGCCTATTCTTGCACGTCATATTGTGGACTCATAGAATATGGACTCTTTTGAGTCTGGCTTCTTTCATTCAGCGTTATGTCTCTGAACTCCATCCCTGTTTTGCATGTGGCCACAGTTTGTTTGAATAGTATTCTATTGTGCAAATACACTGCAGCGTGTTTGTCCGTTCTCCTGCTGCTGGGTGTTGGGTTGTTTCCGGTTTGGGGCCCTCATGAATGGGTAACACTGCTGTGAACATTCTTGTATGTGCCATTTTGTCAACACAGCACCCATTTCTCTTCAGAATATCCCCAGGAGTGCTAGGTCACAGGGTTTGGCTTTAAGCATTTAGTTTTAGCATAAAGCTTATGTTTAGCTTTAGGAGTCTCTACCAGTTTTCTGTTGGTTATATGGATTGCCCTCCCACAGCGTTATATGGGTGTCCAGGTGCTCAGCGTCCTTGCCAACACTTAGCACTGTCAGCCCATAGCTTTGCTCCAGGCAGGCCTGTTGACCGGCTTCCATTAAGCTCTGTATACAGCAAGGTTTCTCCTCTTCCATGCAACACTACCTGGTCAAGGTGCTTTTCCGTTGAGGAACCCATTTCTCGGTGCCACCCAGATGCCTGTACTGGCTCTTTGTGAAATAAGCTACCTCTTAGTTCAGAGTAACACAACTCTCCTTATCCCTGGCTGTTGGACTAGGGGTGGGGAGCACTGAGCCCGGCTTCAGGGCTCAAGCTTCAGACCCAAGCTGCCAGCACACCAGTCCTCAAGGAGGGCAGAAAGCATCTCCTGAACACTGTGTCCAAATCCTTCCTTGCCTGCTAGCTGATGCCATTGTTTTGTGCCTTTACCTCTCAGGCTGTGGTCATTGGGGACATGTCCGTGACCCTGATTTCCTTCAAGTTATTGGTATCCTAGTGTAAATTAAGGATGTACAAAGCAGGTTTCCATGAGGCCCTTGAGGGGAGGATTAGAAAGGGGATGGAGAGAGCCTATTTGCTGTTGGCTGCCCTTGGTGACACGGAAGCACAGGATGAAGGCACAGAAGTCCCTGAAGCGACTTCAAAGGAATTGCTCCAATCACTCGTGGAGTGAAGGCCTGAGATAAGAAGGCAGGGTCGGGGAAAGAGACCCAAAGGAAGCTTTGATTGGAAATGGAAGATTGCAAGGCCAGAATTGATGTGGGCAATTGTTTGAAGCCGGCCCTGTCCTTAGGGGCAAGGCAGTGATCTGGTCTAGGCCTGAGCTGTGGGACGACCCCACAGGCTTTCCTGGGCTGTCCAGTGGGGTTTCTGGCTCTCTGAGTGACCCTGGGCACACCCAGAAGGTTTAGGCACCTGAAGTCTGGCCAGTCCTCCTCCTCCCACCCCACCCCTCCTCCTCCTTCCTTACACCCCCCTTTCCTTCCTCCCCTGCCCACCCCTGTTTCTCTGTCTTCAAATGTTATTATTTTTAAGTTGGTTTATGTGACTCAAAATTTTAAAAATTCAGGGAGATTTCCCTCCTTGTCCCCAGTCTCCCAGTTCCCCTACCAGAGGCAGCCAGTTTGGCCAGTCACACATGTAACCTTCCAGAGATAACGTGAATACCAGCATGTGTGCACGTGCTTGTGCATGTCCCTTTTTTATACAAATGGTAGCATACTGTTCACACTGGTCTAGGCCTTATTTTAAAAATTGCTTTTATTAAATATTGAGCAGATACAAAAATAGCAGTTTTACAATAACATATAAATTTAAAACAAAAACACCTCAATACAATAAGCCATCTGGTCTCTGCTACCTGTCCCAGGCAACGAAGCAGAGCTTTTAAAATCTGTGTGGCCCTCCCTTGCCACCCCCACCTCTTTCCCCAAATACTATCCCGAATGTTATACTTATCATGCCCCCTTTTTTTTATATAGTCCTGCCATATGTTTAAATCAGCACAATAAATGTGTGGTGTCTCATCTTTTTGGATTTTGAAGAGATGGAAGTATATCCACGCAGTCTTACACAACTTGCTTTTATCCCACTCATGATTACAGTCCCAAGATTCAGTTATGCTGAGATGTGTGGTTATGCTTGGTTCATTTTCACTCTGTATGGAATTCCATTGTATTAAGATAACACCATTAATTTTTCATTGTACTATTTAAGGACATTTTGGGTTGCTTCCAATATTTGGCTTCTAGGAACAGTACTGCTGTGAATGTTCTTAATCGTTTCTTTCCTGGTATGGATGTCTTGGGTGCGTTGGTGGGGACTTGGATCAGATCTCCTTCGGGTATTTGCAGGGTCTCAGGGAATACACATCGTCAACTCCAGTAGCTAAGGCCAAACGGTTTTCCAGAGTGCTTGTGTCAATTCACACATTTGCCAGTGTGCTTGAGTGTTCCCTTTGCCCCACTTCCTTGCCAATACTTGGAATTAACAGTTTTTTAAAAATTTCCAGACTGATGTGTGTGAAATCACAACTCATCATGCATTAAAATTTTATGTCCCTGTTTATGCACATTGCATTTACTTAAAATATATTTTGGTGACTGTTGCATATCAGAGCAATGAGGACTTCCTCCTCCTTTCTTGGGCTGAAGAGTGTTTATCATATGAAAATCTGATCGATCGCACCAGTTGCTTATTGCTAGACATCGAGTTGGCCCCGGTGTTCCCCAGACAATTCTTCAATGAATAGCTTTGTGCATCGGTGGCAAAGTGCATCTGTATGTGGAGGAGCCTATATGCAGCTTTCTTACATAGGAACCTCCTCTAAACTGTTGAGATGGAAATAGATCATTTTGCTCCCCTCAGGGACTGTGCCTGGCTATTTCCAGCAAATTCCCTTAACTCCCTGAGTTCCCCGAGGTAGGAACCACATCTGCCCTATCTTGTGTCATCACACTGTCTTTTCCCTCAGAGGATGAGGTTCATCACCTCCCTTCTCCCTCCGCCCCAACCCAGAACCATGATGTTGGTCTCTACATTACCACCCCACCTCCACACAGATTCCTTAGGGATGATCCCTGCCCCCAGCATCTCCTTTTTATGATCATCCCCATCTCAGAATTAGTATTCCCTGAGGAGCCGGACTTTGCCTGGTCCTGATGGAAAGGAAAAAACTGCCAACCACCCTTAGAGTCTCCAAGGGGGTGGGGCAGTACATACATAGAAACAACCAGAAAGGCTAGGATGGATCGCAGCCCAGCACCAATCAGCTGTGACACTCGTGTCCTTGAACCTCACTTCTTTTTTTTTTAGATTTTATTTATTTATTCGTGAAAGAGAGAGAGAGAGAGAGAGAGAGAGAGACAGGCAGAGGGAGAAGCAGGCTCCATGCAGGGAGCCCAACACAGGACTCTATCCAGGTCTCCAGGATCACGCCCTGGGCTGAAGGTGGCGCTAAACTGCTGAGCCACCCAGGCTGCCCTTCTCACTTCTTTATAAAATGGGGATGCTAATATATCTCTGGGGCTGGGGATAGTGTGGGGTCAAGCACCCAGAGCACCCCACACTCATGCACTTCCAAGTTGTAGCTTTCCTCATTATTGAGGACACTTCCAGTTCAAGGATACCCTTGGTGGTATTACAGTAGACGCAAATTCTGAGTCTGAGAATGCCTGGAGGAAGGGCAAGGAAACCCAAATCAGAGGGCCTTCCTGTAGGAGGAGATATTTATATGGCATCCATGAAGGCAAGTGGGGAAATCTTTCTTGAGGAAGGAAGGGAGCCTCGAAATCAGAAGCGTGGAGGGTGAAGGAAAGGTTTAAATGTGCTTGAGGTCGGCTGAGTGATTTGGGGAGAGATGTGGAGTATAAAGGGTGTGGGACTGAGTGCCAGAGATGTGGCTGGAGCTCCATCTTGGAGGCCTCAGTGGGCAAGGTCCTAAGGGGGCTCAGGAATCTGGTGTGCACCAGCTATTCAGGTGCAAGCTTGTGTTCACAAATTGCTGTTTTCAACAGTAAGGGCCTACAGCCCAGCATGAAGGGATGTGGGGCTCAGTAGGGCTGAACCGCGTTACCAGAGGGCCGAGTAGCCAGTCTGCAGGGTTTTCCTCGGGGAGGAAGAACTGTATTGTATTGAAGTCAGGACATTCCTTCAGCTCCCCGTGCCCACCCCACAACTACCCTGCAACCTGGTACCCTGGAGGCACAGGGACTCCCTTGGGCTGGGTGCCTGGGGCATTGCATGGGACCGGGAAAGAACTGCACATCCCCTCCAGGAACTTTGGAAGCTGAGCTGCAGAGTGGGAAGCCTGGGCTGCTTAAACAGCCACAGCAACCATTTCCCACCTGAGTGCTTTTGAACTCAGCCTCAGTCTCCCAAGAGTCCAGGTGGGCTTTACCAGGAGCCATTACTGTATGATCATGCTCCTTTTGTGCAGAAAGCCTCAGAGAGATCAAGTGACTTGTGCAAGGTCGCACAGCTGGGAAGTGGCAGCGCTGGGGCTCGTGCTGGCTACCTGCTGGCTACCTGGTTCGAGAGCCCACGCAGTGCTCCTTGCCCCCCACCCCTCCTCCCACCAGCCCCTGGAGATACTGCATTTACACAGCCTCAAAATCAACACGTTCAAACGGATATATGGTGAACTTCCTCTTCCCCCCTTCCTAGAGACAACTAATGGGAAGAGTTTCTTATACCCAGTTTTAGCACCTTCTGTGCCTGAATAAATACATATATTCCATAGAGACTCTCCCCTGCATTTTTGGATAAGAAATGACAGCATCCTACATACTGTTTTGCACCTAGTTTTTTTTTTTTTTTCTTTACTTAGTATTTCTCAGCTGTCTTTCCGTTTCGGTTTACAGAGAGCTTCTCCTTACCGTGTTTTACAGCCCGTGTATTCACCCTGTTTCATTTCGGTCGATGTTCGGGGGGATTCAGAATGGAGGCTGCTATAAATCATTCTGCAGCAGACCATCTTGAGCTCGGGTCATTTTCCAAGAGCAGACACATCTGTTGGACAACGCTCTGGAAGGAGAACTACAGGCCCCACTCAGCACCATCACGATACTCTCCCCAAATCTGCTCATCGACTCAACAATGAAAACACTTCTTCCTCCTGGAACCCTAATCCACTTCGAATTTGCTCCCGTAGACTATGGCCATCAGGATCAGGGTCCACATCCTGCCTTTTGAATATTCCCAATTCCACAGGCTGGATTCTGGACCTCGGAGCCCAGGACACAGGAGGCGGGCACTCAACCCAGTGAGCCACATACCCTCTTCCAGCAAGTCCTCATTTGGTCAAAGCAGCCTTTTGTGGGCCAGTGGGACGATCGCCTTCCCCCCTCCTTTGCTGGTGGGCAGGGTGAGCCTCAGAGACACCTTGCCCATGCACTGGGCTTGGGCCTTGAGGCTAAGAAGGAATGAAACTTAAAACCCAGGGCCCCTGACTCCCAGTGGACTCAGGGCCCCCAGGCCACACTGCCTCCGAGCGGCTTGGGAACTGCAATTAGCGGAGGACAGACCAACATCTCAGCTTTGCTCTGTTGGTTTTCCACACAGAGCAAGAGGAATGGCATGGGCCTTCCAAGTCTGTTTTTGTCTTTTAAAGATTTTATTCATTCATTCATTCATTCATTCATTCATTCATTCATGAGAGACACAAAGAGAGAGGCAGAGAGGCAGAGGGAGAAGCAGGCTCCCTGTGGGGATGCCCTGAGCTGAAGGCAAATGTTCAACCGTTGAGCCACCCAGGTGCCCCTCCAAGTCTGTTTTCATTTGCTTGTTTATTTGCCAGTGGAGATGAGAAAGATCAGAATATCTAGCCCACATTTTTTTAGTCCTCCCACACTCCAGGCTAGTCCCTCCGCATGTATGCTCAGAGGTGGAAGGGATAGGTGCTGTTATTACAGCCCTGTTGTCCAGGTGAGGTGACATGAGGAGTAGTAAGGAGTAGAGCTGAGGCTTAAACCCAGGCAGAGCCCATATTCTTAACTCCTCTACACCAAGGCCTCGAAAACAATGGCTTTCAATAGATGACACACAAATTATCTTTATTATATTATTTCAAGCTTCTGTAGAAATAAATGGTGGCTATCTCCTTGGTATTTTGTTATTGTATTATTATTATTATTATTATTATTATTATTATTATTATTGAGAGCACATGCGAGTGGGGGTGGAGCAGAGGGAGAGGGAGAAAGAGAATCCCAAACAGACTCCCTGCTGAGCATGGAACCCCACCTGGGGCTCTATCTCATGACCTGAGCCGAAACCAAGTCAGATGCTTAAACCGGCTGAGCTACCCAGGTGCCCCCTCCTTGGTATTTCAGGGAAAGCGAGAAGACCCTTCACCCATCAAAAATGAAATACCTTCCCACCAGCTTAGGGCTGCTTTTGACTGTACACATAGAGCTGTGTCTCTTAGGCTGACAGTTTGGATCCTTGATAAAATGAGATTCTCTTGGGCACCTCCCTACCCTTTAATGCTCCGGCCTGCCTTTCATGACAGAAACAGCTCTCTCCCTTCCTGCAGTTCTTGTAAAAACAAGAAAAGACTGCCCCAAATGTGACATTAAATTTTACTGTTAAATATGTCTTTACAGGGGCCTGGGTGGCTCAGTGGTTGAGCGTCTGCCTTAGGCCCAGGGTGTGATCCCAGGGTCCTGGGATCAAGTCCTGCATCGGGCTCCCTGTGGGGAGCCTGCTTCTCCCTCTGCCTCTGCCTCTCTCTGTGTGTGTCTCTCATGAATAAATAAATAAAATCTTTTTTTTTAATAAATAAATAAAATCTTAAAAAAAAAAAAAAGTCTTTACAAGCTCTTCCACTCACCACTGTCAGTTTTGCACACCCCTGAAGATCTGAGCTCCCACTTCACAGCCCTCTCTCCACTCATCCTGCCAGGACACTTGCTGCTTTTGCCATCCACTGAAGTCCTGATCTCCCCATTCCCTGATCTCCTCTCCCGCAGTGGCTCAGCTACTCAGTCCCAAGTTCAAGCCCTGGACCCTCTAAAGACCCCACGTTCAAATGTCTTCCTAGCTCATTCCTTTAAGCCTTCAGCCCCACAGGCCCCGTGGGCTCCATGGTCACTGACCTCCTCACCTTTTCGTGGTCCCCCTCAAGGCCCGCCTCCTCTCCTTTCCCAGCCTCATCTCCACAGTTAGTTATTAGAACTCCTTTCTTGTCTACACCTCTTGCACCTCAAGCTTGTTAGATCCTCATCACTCTGCAAAACCCTGGCCCAGTTAAAGCCAACTCTCCACATGCTCTACTATGGCTCCTATTTGTTTATGTTGCTTGCTCCTGGCTGTCCTGCTAGAATGTCAGTCCCACAGGCAGGGGCTGTGTCATCTGGCTGCCCTATCCACCTCCCAAGCATAGTGCCCCTCTGTGCCCAGTGGGTACCCATTGGGTGAATGTGCACATTTGTTGAAGGAATTTCTTTCAGAGTGTGAAGGATCTGAGAGCTTGTTACAGTAGTATCTAGAGAAAAAAGGTCAAGGACAGAAGTCACATTGTGTCCAAGGGAGGCTAGAGGAGGGTGGGAGGCCAGAATGAGGAGGACAAGCCCAAGTTTGCCCAAGGAGGAGGCTGTTCTTCCTCGTTCCTAACTGGCACTTCTTGGTCTAGTGGTAGATCTCGAAAGTTTTTCAATCTCAAACCCAAATTACAGGATTCTGAACCTTTACTAAACTGTAGATTCCTGCCAGTCTTTGTTATTTAAGGCTTCCAAGACTCTCCTGAAATGGTGTGGTATGGGCAAGGCGGGCCCTGCTTGTTAGGTCAGCTGCCTGCTGACCCTCGGTCCAAAGGGGAAATAGCAGGGGACCTGGGAGAGGGGATTGACCCCTATCGCATGCCATTTTGTGCCAGAGGCTTTCTGCACATCAGCCCTGCTGGATTCTCACGATGCATTCCCACAGCTAGTTGGTGGTTGGGATTCAAACCAGGCACATTCTACTCCATCAAGAGGGTTCCCAAGGCTGTGTTATATGGGACCTAAACACTGCAAGTAAGGCATTTCTGGGCCATGAGCTTAGAGTCTGAAGCGATCTCAGTGAGCCCCAGCTGAAGTTCTGACCATTCATTCTCTCCTTTCTCTTACCACTTGAGAACCGGAAAGTATTGTACAGACTGGAGTTTCCCCAGAGATCGGTAAAGGAGCATGAACTGACTCATCACCAAGTTTGGACTCGAAAAAAGAAACCGTTTGTTCTGATTTGCCAAACCTTAAGTCAACTTTGTTTTGAAAATTGAACCTTCTATGGGATCTCAAGTTTGGCATTTTGTCTTTTTAAAGGTCAGTGAATCTGTGAGATTCCTTTTTTAAAAAGATTTACTTATTTGAGAGAGAGAGAGCACAAGTGGTGGGGAGGGGCAGAGGGAGAGAGGGAATCTTAAGCAGACACTCCACTGAACACATAGCCCTACATGGAGCTCGGTTTCATGACCCTGAGTTCATGACCTGAACCAAAATTAAGAGTCGGCTGCTTAACTGACTGAGCCACCCAGGCCCCCCAGATCTGTGAGATTCCTAACTAGAGGCAGCCCAGTGGGATAGAAATAGCCTGGGAGTCAAGACTCGGGCTTGCTGTGTGACCTTGAGCAGGTTACGGCCCATCTCTGGGCCTTTGCATCATGAAAATAAAGGGCTTGGTTCTAGTCAGCTCTCCATTCCCCTCTAGACCTAAAGTTCTAGGATCAGAATATGGGCTCTGACTCAGACACCTGAGTTCAAGCCCTGTTTCATCATTTATTAGCTGGTAAGTGAGCAGGTTGGACAGGTTGCTTAACTACTGTGGGATTCAATTTCTTCACATGTAAAACCGAGATTGAGAGTAACTTTGTCATAAGGTGGCAAAGCCTGAATTAGAAGATTCATATAACTCGCTTGGCATAGGGAGCCATCATGAACAGAAGATGCGCTCAAGTTGGTTTGGCACAGCGAAGAGGAAGTTTCTTTCTATGTTATTGGAAATCTATAAAGAACCAGATCATAAAAATCTGAACTCCACCAATAATATTTATTGAGCACATACTTGCATTTGTGGAGAACACTTTTGGTTGGCCCCACCCAAACCATTCCCAATCCCATGTTTGCCATGTCCAACCAAAGAGACTGGAAATGCAGATACTCTCTTTCTCAGCCTCCCTTGCAGCTTGGGGTGGCCACATGATCCATGTTTTGCTGTGAGACATAAGCTACTGGTGGCTTCTAGGAAAGGTTTTGTTCCCTGTGATAAAGGACAGCCACCAGAGAAGATCCCCCTGCCACTGTCCTTTTGATTTTTGCTCACTGTAAATATGAATACATCATGTGGAGCAATGGCAGTAGTCTTGTGACCATGAAGCACAACTACAAGGAGAAAAGGCCAATAAGCCAAGCATATCATAGTGTAAGGCTGGAAAGAACTTGGGTCCAGAGAGACCAACCACAGCATCTGCTGGTTGTTAGACTCGTCACGGGGTGACAATACAAGCCCTGTTTGTTTAGGCAGCTGTCAGCTGGACTTCCTGTTCCTTATAGCTGAGGCCATCCTATCTCATATATCATTCAACAAACATTTGTTAAATTTCTACTAGTGCTAGGCCCCATTCTAGGTATTAGGTTTACAGGGATAGAAAAGGTATCTTTAAAGTTTTACAGCCTATTCAAGCAGAGTCTTTTTTTTTTTTTTTAAGATTTTGTTTGTTTATTCCAGAGAGAGAGAGTATGAGCAGGGAAGGAGCAGAAAAAGAGGGAGACAACCAGACTCCTCACTAAGCATGGAGCCTGAGGCAGGGCTCGATTGCAGGACTTGAGCTGAAACCAAGAGTTGGCTGCTTAACCAACTTTTTGTTTGCTTTTAATACAATGAAAATGTAAGAGGTGGTACAGTTGATGTTAGCATGAGGGCATAAAGGAAGGACTTTCTTCCTTTCTAGACTGTAAATGCTATCAGAACAGATACTTTGTTTTTCTTACCAATACACCTCCAGCTCCTTGCCTAGCATTTAGTCAATGCTCAATAAGTATTTGTTGAATGTGATAACTGTGAGTGCTGCTTACCCTGTACAAGGGATGATCTCACTTTTATGACCTTTTAAAGTTAGGTGTGGCTGTGTGACTTGCTTTAGCCAATAAAATATGAACGGAATTGATAATATGTTTGTAGTAGGCGGAAGCAGATGAAAGCTGGTATGGATCTCTCTATTCTTTATCTCCCTACTGCTGCCATGGCCATTGAAAATTAACCTGATTCATCAATGGATGAATCACTAAATGAATGAATGAATGAATGAATGAATGAATGAATAATGGCAGTGTTGGAAATGGATTAGAGGGGTGGGAAGACCCAGACAGGGACTTGGACGTGGACACTATTGTATCCCTACTCTATGTTGAAGGTAGAAACAGCCCCTTTGGCCTTCCCTCCTTCCCTCTGGCAGAGCCTGCATCCCACTATGGAGATTGAAAATGCCAAATGGTGGCCTTCTCAGCCTCCCCTGCAGCAAAGGCATGGGTGTGTGAGCGAGTGCTGGCCAGTGGACCCTGACGGAGAGTCTTCTGGATGGATTTCTGGACATGGTCCCCCCCCCCCAAGTTAAAGAATAGACTTTCCTCATTATTGAAGCCGCTCTGCTTAAATAAACTTATTGAGTTTTCTGTTTCTTGCAGCCAAGAGCAAGCTAACTAATATATGAGTCCATGGGAGAGATAAGGAGGCCCTCAATGCAAGCCTTAGATGAAGGACTTGAGAGAAAGGCACAGAGCTGAGGGAAGCTAAGAAGTAGAATCAATAGGACTTGGTGACTGAGTGCAGTGGTTGAGCTGTGGGCTGTGCAAAATAAAAGGAGTCTGAAAACCTGGTCTCAAATATTAAGGATCCCAGTGGAATAGACATGCAGTGTGTCCTGAGGGGGTTGTGAGGAGCTGGGAGGACCAAGCAGTCAGGATGGCTGGCCTTTGGTTGCAATGGAGAGAGCCAGTGATAGTAATCTGGGAAGGGTCTTCCTAATATATTTTAGACCAAATTTTATAGCTACAACCTTACAAATAATCTTTGCCTTACAACTTACACAATTTTCATTTTGCTTCAACCATTTTGACCTGTTGAATGGAAAGGCAGTAGTGGGACAATCCAATTTAATGATGAATATGCTTTAAATGTAGGGCTACTTGACATGCCATTAGGGTGATATACAGTAGGTCATTTAACCTATGCTTGAACATTTAAAATAGTGCTGTGGTAAGCTCTTCTGGCCAGAGGTTTTCCTATGACTTAGATTATTAGGATAAGTTTCCAGAAATGGAATAACTCATTCAAAGCAATATTGGAAGCAATGAACCTCAACCAAGACACACTGCTATTATTTTTTTTAAAGATTTTATTTATTCATGAGAGATACAGAAAGAGGCAGAGACATAGGCAGAGGGAGAAGCAGGCTCCCAGCGGGGAGCCCGATGTGGGACTTGATCCCGGGAACCTGGGATCACGACTTGAGCCGAGGCAGATGCTCAACCACTGAGCCACCCAGATGCCCACAAATGCTATGATTTCTTTTAAAAAATATTATATTTTAAAATAATCTCTACACCCAATGTGGGACTCTAACCCACAACCCAGAGATAGTCACATGCTGCACTGACAGAGCCAGCCAAGTGCCCCTATAATTTTTGATAAATAGCCAACTTGCTTTTGCAGACTGGTAGAACCAAAATGGTTCTGTCATTGCACCAGAGAATTTTGTTTAACATCATACATACAAGACTG